TGTTTTTTATTATTTTAATACTTTAATTAATAATAAGTAAAGTTGATAATTTGGTTTTTATTATTTTTTTATTTTTAATTTTTATTTATATATTAAATTTTAATAAAACTTTATTATTAATTAAATAAAATTTATTATAAATATTTAAAATAATATTGTTAATTAGTAAATAATAATTAAGTTAAGTTAATGTGGTGTATATTTTATAAATAAATTAATATTAGATTTTTATATTATTAATTATAATTATGGTTATTAAGTTATTAAAATAGTTTTTTTAATTGTTTAATTAATTATTTAACTTATTATTATTATTTAATTAACATCTTTTACTATTAAACTTATATTTTAATTTAATATATTAATTTTTTAATTTAATTTTGGTTTAAAACGTTTTTTATTTAATAAATTAATAACGTTTTTTAATTATTTTATGTCTTTTTTTATTAAAAATATTAAATAACTAACGATTAAATTTTTTAATAATAATGTATTAAAGGATTTTATAATTAATAAATTGTTAAAAATAAATATTTATTAAATTGTTATAATAAAAATAATTGTTTTTTTAATTTATTATATTTAAAATATTGGTTTAATTTAAATTAAATAATATATTTATAAAATATACGTTAGTTTTTATAAATAAACCTTAAAATATAAAGTTATTTTTTAAAATAATTAAAAATTATAAAAAAAATTTTACTAATAACTTTAAGATTTTTTTAATTTATTTTATAATTATAAATTTTTTAATTTAATAAATAATTTAATTTATAATTTAATAAATTTTAATAGTTTTTAAAAAATTTAAAGTTATGGCATTTTTTTCGATTTTTAAGATTTTATAAGTGTAGTTATTTTTATATAATATTTATTATTTAAAAAATTATTTTATAAGTTTTATTTTATTAACGTAAATTTATTAAAAATGTTTACAATAGTTTTTTTTTAATTTTATAATAATTAATAAATTAATAAATTTAAAATATAATTTAATTTTATAAAAAATATTAATTATTAATATTAGGTTGTTATTAATATATTTAAGTATAATAAGTAATAAAATTTTTTTTTTAACCGTTTTTTGGATATATTTAAATATTTGGTTTATAATCGAAATATTAGTTATTTTTTTCGATTAAACGATTGTGTAATGTTTTTAAATTTTATTAAATAATTTATTGAATTTATTGTTAATTAATATAATAATATTGTTATTTAAAATGTTTTATGTAAAGATATTATTGTTTTATTTAATGGTTATAATTATTTTATAAATAAAAACTTTTTTATTTTTAATAGATTTTAAAATAAAAATTTTAATCTTAATTATAATGGTATATTTAATAATGTTATATTTATTTAAGTCGATTTAATTTTAAAGGTTAAATTAAGTAATATTTTATTTTATTTTTAAAATTTAATAAAAATAATTATAATAATTATTTAAATAAATTATTAAAGTTAAAAAAACGGTTTTAAATGAGTTTTTATTATAAATATCCATTATTATTTCAATAATTATAACTTTAAAAATAATTATATAAAATAAAAAAAAAAATAAATAAAATAAATGGTTTGTATTTATTATTAATATATTTTTGTTAAAAGTTTAAATGTAAATTAAGTTTATAATTATTAAAAGTTATAATATTATTATAAATAATATATGGTAATTGTAAATGGTATGTAAAAGTTTAAATTATTTAAGGTATGGTTACGTATAACGTAACTTTTATATAATTAATTAATTATATAATAATTGTAACTAATGTTATAATTTTTTATAACCGTTATAATAGCTGTGTTATAACCACGGTTATCCACCCCGTGCGACAACATATTAATTTACTTTACCGTTATTTTATTTAATTTAAAGTTATTAAAATTAAAGTTAATATTTAAATTAATATTTAAAATATTATTGTTAATATATTTATTTTATATTAAAGTTATATTAAATAATTATAAATATAATAAAAGTATTATAAAATATATAATAAACGTAAATTTTTTAATTTATTTAAAAGTTTTAAAATTTTAAAGTAATATAATAACTGTTAATGCCATTATTTTCTTTTGTTAAAAAAAAATGAAAAAAACGTTTAACGTTTTTTATAATTTTTTTTAACTTTATTAATTTATAATTTTATCTTTTAATTAATTATTAATTAATATAAGTAAAATAAAATATCCGTACGAATTAAGTAATAAAAAAAAATGACGTAACGAATAAAAAAAAAAAATAATATAAAATAAAGTTATTATAATGATTGTTATTATATTAATTAATTAATGTTATATAAATTATAAATTATATATATAAATGTTATTTAAAAAAAATTACCTTTTATGTAAAAATTAATTACGTGTTATTACGTGATTATTTTTATGTAATAATATTTTATTATTAATAATTTTTCTTTTTTTTTTTTTTATATAACGTAATTATATATAATTTAATTAATTTAATATTAATAAAATTTTTTTTTTTTAATTTGTTTTTTTTATATTATGACGTAATTGTTAATAAGTATATAATTAAAATTTTTGTTAAATTTTTTATCGGGTTAATTAAAGTTAATTAAAATTAATTAAAAAACGGTTAAAATAAAAGTTGTTTAATTAAAAATAAAATTATTTTCGTATTATAAATTGTTTAATTAAAAATAAAGTTATATTTAATTAAATTGTTTGGTTAAAAAATAAGGTTATTTTTAATTAAATTATAAAAATTATTAATTTAAATTAATTAAAAATAATTGTGTATTATGGTAAATTCGATATAATTACTTGATTTTAATTTTATAATAAAGATTTTTAACGATTTTAATTTTTTTGTTTAATATATTATTTTTTAAGTTATATTTTTTATTATTTTTATGTTTATGTTTATTATTATTATAATATATTTTAATATGGTTAATGATATTTTATAATTTTATTAATTATATATAAGTAATAAATTTATTAAACTTTAATAAAATTGTTTGTAAAATCGGTTGTATTTTTTATAAAATTGGTTTTAATGTTATTTATAAAATCGGTTCCGGTATTATTAATTATAATATTAATTATGTTTATAAAATCGGTTTTAATATTATTAATTGTTTTATATTTATTTTATTTAATTATATTGTTTGTATTTAAAATGGTTTAAATGTTATTTTTATATAAATATGTGTTTTTTATAATTTAAATTATATTATTATTACGATGTTTTCGTTAAATTTATCGATTTAATATAAGTTAATTATTAAAATAAAATTATTAAAATAACGTTTTAATAAATACGTGTTTTTATTAAATGGGAATTTTGTAAATTTTTTAACGTTAATTATTATTTTTAATTTTTTTAAAAAGGTTTTTTTTTTGTTAAAATATATTTTATATTATAAAAAATAATTTGTTATTAATAATTAAAGTAAACGGTTTATTTTTTAAAAGTGTTTTATTTATTATTTTATAAAAAGTTTTTTTAAAATTATTTTATATGTTTTTTATTATAAGGCTAAAATTAAAAGGTGTTATTATTAAAAGATAATGTTTTAAAAAACCTAAAACATTAAATCATTATAATAAAGCTTTGTTTATATATATAAAAAGATAAAGGTTTTAATTTAAGTATTAAGTCATGATGTTATTTAACGGACCGTTAAATAACATCGTAACGCATGTCACGGCCGTGACATTTTCGTTACATTTATTGTTATAATATTTAAAATATGTAAAGTTTTTAACATAATACGTATTAATTTATTTTGTTATTATTTTATTTAATTAAAAAGTATTATTTGGTTATAATATGTTTAATTAACCGATATTAAATTTAATGTTTAAAAAGTTATTATTAATATATTTATTTTATATTAAAGTTATATTAAATTATAAAAAAATTATATTAAATATAAAAAAAAAAGGTTTTTATAATTGTAAATATAATAAAGTTGCTGTAAAAATGCGTAATAAAACGCAGGTATTATAAATTTATAAATTAAACTTTAAATATTTTTAAAGTAATATAATAGCCGTTAATATTATTATTTTTTTTTGTTAAAAAACGTTTTACGTTTTTTTTTAACTTTATTAATTTATAATTTTATTTTTTAATTAACCATTAATTAATGTAAATATAATAAAGTATTTGTACGGATTAAATAATAAAAAAAAATGACGTAACGAATAAAAAAAAAAAAAAAAAAAAATAATACGAAATAAAATTATCACAATAATTGTTATTATATTAATTAATTAATGTTACATGTATTAATTACAAATTATATATGTAAATGTTATTTAAAAAAAATTACCTTTTATGTAAAGATTAATCACGTGTTGCCACGTGATTATCTTTACGTAATGATATCCCATTAAAAATAATTACAACTTTTTTTTATATATAATATATATATTTTAACGTTTTTATTAATTCGTTAATAACTTTAATTATAAATAAAATTAATTTTTATAAAAAAGTTATTACCGTTTTTATTTATATAATAATTAAAAAACTTATTACGTGTAAAATTAAAATAATAAACTTTTAAAAAAATTTATAATATAAATTTTAAAACTTTAATAATTAAAAATAACCTTTTAAATTTATTAAATAAATTAAAAATAATTATTTTTTATAATTTTATAAATATTTATAATTTATTATTTATAATTTTAAAATTTATAAATAAAACGTAAAATTTATTAATAACGTTATAAAAAAATATATTAAATAATTTATAAATAAAATTTTTTTTAATTTATTATTATTAATAAAAAAATTACAAAACTTTTTAAAAAAATATAAAATAAAACTAAAAAATGTTATTTTATTAATAAAATTAATAGTAAATAATATATTAATATTTTAAAAAATAATTTATTTAAAAAAGTTAATAAAATAATTTGTAAATAACATAATTTTTTATTAATTTATATAAACTAATAAACATGATATTTTTATGCATAAAAAACTTAATTAATATATTACAAAAGTAATAGCTTAATGGGCCTGGCGGGATAGGTTAAAATATTATTATGTCGATGAGCTTGATTTGCGAGATATTACTAACAAATTCTGTGTAAAATAGACTTAATGTTGTCGAGTCGTGTCCTTTTTCTCATTGCCATCGACCTTAGGTGTTGATCTAGACTTTTCCTCATTGCTGCCAGTATTACCATCCAGATCTTTGTCGTTCTCTTTTCCATCTTCTACATCATCATCTTCATCATCATCTTCAATACTTTCGACTTCGTCGTAATCTGCATCTTCATCTTCCTCTACCTCTGCCTCCTCCCCTTCCTCCTCATTCTCATCAATGTCCCCTTTATTTTTATCATCTCCGGTTTCTTCTTCAGATACATCTTGCTGCCCCTTTTTTTGCTTCTTGTTAGTCGCTTTGCCGCCCTTATTCACCTCTTTGCCCTGTTTATTGTTCGTATGGGGTCCCTCGTCAACCCCGTCCGAGATAACATCGAACTCTTCATCCTCGCCTTGCTCGTCATCATATTTTTGAGGATCTTGACCGTTAGCCTTGCGTTTGGTACTGCCCCGGCCACCTTTTTTCTTTTCGTCGATTGTCAATTCCGAGGCTCTTTTGACGACATCATTGCCCGATCGTTCAATTCGGACTGCAGGGTTGCTCGCGTCGGCTTTTCTTTTGACAGTATTCCCGCGCTGCGTCTTGATTTCAATTGCCCCTTGCTCCTTCGTTTCTGCTACCGTGCCTCCAGGAGCACCGCCACCCCAATTCCAAGAGACTACCGTGAATATCATAATTAGCCGCCGAGCTCTAATAAATGCTATTTGATGCATACCTTTGTCTCCCTCTTCTGGCTTGTCGCTTTTGGCCATGGTGTTAGGTCAAGGACTGGAATATATAATTTGTATGATGAAAGACGCAATCGATTGCTTGTAGAGGTTTAGTTTGGGGCTCTGAAAGTGCGTTATCTAGAAATCGAAGATTTAAAGTGAGCGGGAAGAATGAAGTCTTATGATAAAATCGCGATTGTTTTCATTATAACTGCTTCGTTGCGTCATGTCGATGATTCATTATCCCTTTAGTGCCAGATTCCTATGTTAGGACTAGGCTCGGCAATCTAAAGGGATAGGACGCTGACATGCGCCACTTACGCGCCTAGAGTGGCTCGGTATTAGAGCACAATATCATCGTAGAGATGCAGTAGGTTTGGTCTTCCTCTGTAGTCCGGTAGTTATACACTACTTGGGGACAAGGCTGAAGACTTGACGGTAATACGAAGCATACCTTGATAGGTCCATACCTAAGGTATCCCACATTGAACTTGCCTCAAATAAGACAAGATATTTGCAGTATTTAAATAGCTAAAATTGGTGTGGATATTGTATCGAGGTTTCTATTATAGAGTGCTGAAGACTTTCCGATATCAACTTGCATAGCTACCTGTTATCATCAAAGCCATATTAAAGCCTCAGAATAATAGTTCAACCCAAGTTCTTCATCACATAGTTCTCTTTTCTGTCACACGTAGGTCACACATCTAGCACGCCACTTATGTCTAAGCCAGATCGTCTTAGATGGGTATAAAATAGAAAACCTACCATTGATTCCATTGATTTACCGTCCCTTAAATATAGGTTTCCTCTTCTCCTTGAAAGCCTCTAAAGCCTCGCCTCGGTCCTCGGTTTTCATCACACGCTCGTACATAGCGTTCTCTATTTCCTCCCTAGCCCAGTTGACTGCCTGGAGGGCAGATCTAATAGCAATCGGACCTCCCTCACAGATCTCACCTGCTAACCTCACCGCCTCCGAGAGAACCGCATTTCGTGCTCTAGTTGGTAGTCCGTCTTCAGCTCCGTTATTCGTCTGCGCGACACCATCCCGCTCGTCTTCGGGCAGCACCTCAACTAAGCGATCGGCGATTCCTAAAAAGTACGCCTCGGGGGCAGAAACACGCCGTCCGGTCAGAATGATATCCCTGGCGCGAGGGAGTCCGATCAATGCTGGTAATCGATACGTGCCGCCGGCGCCGGGAATTATGCCCAGTCGCGTCTCGGGAAGGCCCACGGTTGCAGTTGAGGCTAATACTCGGAAGTGCGTGCAAAGGGCGAGTTCGAGACCGCCGCCTAGCGCAAGGGAAGAGATGGCCGAAATTGTAGGGATCGGGAGAGACGCAAGGGAGGAAAACGTGCCGCGGAGATCTGCTAGGAATTGTGCGGTCCTAGAGCAGATCAAACCTCAGGTATTAGTTAAGATGTTTAATCCCTAACAATAATTATATACTGACTCCTCTTGCGTAAAGCCGCGCCGCTCTTTAAGATCAGCGCCGGCGCAGAAGCTCGCATCAACGGCGCTGGCCAGGATCAGAGCTCTGGTAGGCCCTTTCTGATCCATACCAGCAGCTCCTCCAAACCGTGGGGGAGGCGGCACTTCTTGGCCGTCTACGGTATATTGCGATTGAACATCTTCGACTTCGGCTCGTAAGGCAGCTAGGAGGGCTTTAGATATGGCATTGCGCGTAGATGGTCTATTGAGCTCGAGAATGCGGATATGACCGGAATTTGGAGCTTTGAGGTTGGTAACTCGAACAAGAGGACCGGCGTCGGTCGAGTAAAGACGGAGGAGACGGATGGCTGAAGATGCCAATCGAGTATTTAATCGTGGCGGCATTGCGATGTATAAGTGGTATATCCGTAAAGATGAGGCGCTGATAAAAAGATGGATACCAAAGGAATGTAGGTAAATGATTTCGACGTCAGAGTCGACGCTATCTCGGCTCGATAACGGGATTAAAGCGGCTATCAACGGGTGTTATATTTAAAGATAACGGCTATAAGGCTATAAGAGATTAATAATATTGATTTATCAGTGTCTTGTATCAATTGAGGTCACCTGCAATTATCTTTAAAAACATCATTTGCCGAATAAGACTCGGGAGTTTCGGAGGCCCGTCCAATCAATGAACCATGGAAGTATGTCATTAAGAGTATCTCCACTCCATGCCGACCCGGGGGCGTACTCAAACGCTTAAGGAAGTGTCCACTTAGAAAGCTATTATCTTGCCGTATCTCTAGGTTAGGTACCTAGTTCAATATTTATTCGGCTTCAAAAATGGCCACTGATTCAGCGCCAGCGTCCCTTCCTCCGGAGGCTATCGAATTCGCAGGGTGCATGTACAACGCCGCACGAGCCGGAGAGATTGAGATATTTCAACAGGCCTTACCAGCCGGTCTCCCTCCTAATTTGACTAACGAAAAGGGGGACTCAATTGTATGAAACTATTGATTAGCAACTTTTCTTAATGAGAAGACTTATCAATTCAAATTTTACACATAATACTAATGATAGATTGTTTATTTCTAGCTTATGCTGGCAGCTTATCATGGGCACGCCGACCTCGTCAAACTTCTTATTCAACATGGAGCCGATCCGAATCGTATTAACGATAGGGGTCAAAGCCCCTTAGCGGGCGCCGTTTTTAAGAAGGAGGATAGTGTGATCGAGGTTCGACCTCCATGTCCAGTAATCACCCTTGAAAGTTTACATGATCTAACTTCGTGACGATGTAGGCGCTATTGGAAGGCGGTGCTGATCCAGAGCATGGTTCGCCGTCTGCACTTGCCTGTCTAGCCATGTTTCAACTGGAGGGTCAGTGGGGAGACAAGTTTACATCGGCTCCAGGGAGAGGGAAAGCTGGAAAGCCCGCATCCTTACCCAATACCGACGCCAACCAGGCAAGGTAATGCTGTGGGCAAATGAGGCTGTGGAATTCTATAGGACCTCTTATGTCAGGCGATACCCTAGGTGTATTTCCATGAAGGGGGTACTCTAAACATTGATGTTGTGTACCTATCTATAGCTTTAAATATCAACCACAAAAGCCTCAGATCCTTCGATATTTTACGATCACTATTTACCTCAAGATACTCGTACAACACATAGTTACTCTTAACTAGGTACTCATTTAAGTAGGAAGGGGTATCAATTGATAATCCTGAGTCCGGAGGTAAGCCAAGAGCCACCTAGGTACCAACCAATGATGTACGCTTAGGCATACGGCACTACCTAAGACCTAAGCGTATCAATTGAGGTTAGATGATCGGAGTATTGCTGTATAGGTACTGAAAGACGACCCCATAGTGGGCATCACATAGAGTTAGGAAAACTATCCCTTAGGAGAATTCGATGAACTATTTAAACATCTGTCCAAGCCCCTTTATGACGCGATACAGAGATGGACGCGGTGATCATTTGCAGACTTCGAAAGTCCAAATCAACATAAACGCTTTCAAAGTTCCCACAGCTACCCTCATGGCAGGTTTCTTCGAGTTTCGATACCTCTTGCTCTGTATGAACTTTATGGGACTGCACACCATTTCTCTGATCAATCTCTTGTGCCACATCTACTCTGCCTATTATCATATAGGAAGGCCCTAATCCAAGTGTTTCTTTCACAGCCGTATTTGTCAAGTCTGTCGTTATGGGCCGCATGATAATAGCAGCGTCGCAGCTCCAAAACCGTATGATAACATCACCGGGCCTTGCTACCGATGGAACTAATGCGATGAGGCGGTTTGTGCCAAGGCAGATTCTAGGCCCGAGCCCGATATCAGAGCCTCTTTCTCGACGTCCCTGACTTTCTTCCCAGACTTTAGCGTACTCGGCAAGGTACCGAGAATCATCGGTTCGAGGCTTGCTATCTGCAATAGGCCACGCTATAACATCAGGATGTTGGATCTCATGGATCCTCATCAACTGGCCATTATCATATTCCATAGTTCTTGCCATGTAATTCTCGCCAGCTTTTCTGATATACTGCAGGTCAGGCTCTTTATAATAGTCGCCATAGCAGTCCTGCCATTCTCGTTCGATTTGGGGTGATTCGATGAGCGACTCGAGCTCTGGACCCAGTCGTAAGACTCTACTGCTCAAGAATCCTATCGCTCTGATTACTGGATAGCCCTATACATCGGCGATTGACTCTGAGTTAGCTTTAATAATTCTCAGTCGGTAAGGAAATTAAATGGAGATCGGCAACTGGGTAAGGAACAACTTGCTTGATGTCTATCCAGATCCCCAATTTCCTTCTCGACCTGTTGGCCGAGTGCTTCTTGAACTATACCTGAGGCTTTTACCACAGTGATGTATCTCTCAATCTCCGTAGGAGACATGCTATTCTCAAGCTTACCAATACGGGTATCGTTGAACTTAAGGCCAAGTGGTGCATTGTTCCCCCGGACTTGAAAGTATATATACCCAACCACATCAGTCCAAATATCGTATAATGGGCGATCATAGTCGACTTCAGGCGGCCTTATATTTCTCAGTAGTTGTGATAAGTCCCCGTCTTTAAGATCCAATGACTCGGCATATCGTTTGAATTGATCAGGTAGCTGGTCGGCGGTACTTGGAGTACGTATATCGTTAGCAAGCCCGAGTAGCCCATATATCTTGTCCCTTATTTCGGAGCACTCTTTTTTAACACAGCTCTCGATGAGACTTTCTAATCTCGTCATAGGGGTGTGCCTCTGCTCCCTAATCCCTAGCAAGGTAAGCATTTCTTGAAGTTCATTCGTCAAGCCTTTTCCGGGTTGTAGTAGTACCGAATATTCCTCCTTGAACGCCTCTGATTGTCTTAGAGCCTCGTAGGTCCAAATGCTTGATCCGTACATAAACACCAATCGTAGAGGACAACATACTTCCTGGACAACCCACAGCCTCTTCCAATATGCACTTTCGGACATTCTTTTAAAAGCTTTTCTATCAGGCCCGAGCGAAGATCGTATCTCCAAGTCGACAGCTTTCAACCCGCTTGACACGGCAGAAACAAGATGCTGGACTTGGCTGGCCTTCCACTGCATAGAACCGGCGATATCTCCGTTATCTTTTGGTCCTATCCATGCTACAACAGTAATGGCACGCTTATAAATGGAAGACATCATGGCGACCTGAGCGCTCTTTTCCACATTGTCATCTTGGTTAATACAAATGGCATCCACCCAGAGTAGTAGAGACACAGTTGAAGAACGGAGGTGTTGAATTGCAACCTTCAGGTTACTACCCGCATCAAATGTGCAGCCGTTTACGGTGATATTTATTGGCTTCCTGGTATCTGTCCTTGAGGCTGGTGACAACGTCGATGCTTTTTTGACACATTCTGAATACGGCTCGCCCCAAGTGTAAGACAACGCTACATAGCGTGGCCTAGATTTGAAAGTAGCAGGGGTCAAAAAGCACACCAGTGGACTAAAAAAGTCTCCTGGCTGTAGATTAAGGATACGGATAGCGTCCTCTCCCGTTGGGAGAGGAGGATAGGTGAAGGTCTTTGAACCTGTGGCCATTATTTCGCCAGTGATTTGGGAAGGTTATGTGTGCCTCTACCCGCCATCGAGTACCCGATCTCATATCGTTTCGATATCGGTTCTACTATTTCCCCGATGTGTACGACGACACCGCAAGCCATCGGGGTCTGAGGAGGCCTGATAGGGGTGGGGAAAGTCTTGAGCTATGGGGGAAATAACTCGAAATTCCGATGGATTCTGGGTTCTAAGGAAAACTAGCATAACTGATGGCTCTAATGAAACGCCTTACATCCAATATCATCCTTGAGGCTAAGATACGAATAGGCCCTTAGGGTTTCTATTCTAATAATGGGGAGCGTGTCCAGTGTTTAATAAAATCAATAGACGTATGAGAATTAATAGGACTATGAGGCTACTTAGGTACCTAATCTAATGAAGTGTTCTTTTTCGCTGGCCATCTCCAACAACTCTGGGTTATATCTTCTCTTTTCTCGATTCAGTCCCAGGTCGTATTCCTAGCAACTTGATGGCCGTGTAAAAAAGAAAAACCTATTAGAAACAGTAGAATAGCAGCAATCATCAAATCAGAGAAACCTTTACCCCGTCAGCCGGAGCCAGCCCGATGGTGTAGTTCTGCCTTTCTGCTCCAACTGGCTCATTCGGTACTCCTGGGGCCAGTCTAATCCCCGGAAATGCATGGAGCATTCTTATAATTGCGTAGCTTGCCTCTGTTATAGCAAAGTCCTCTATGGTGATTGAGTTAGTAATACTTCGGACGATGGGAGACAGCGTTACCTACTTCCTAAGCAAGTTCTTGGACCGCCATTGAAGTCAATGTATCCAGCTCCTGGGCGGGCCTTCTTGAGTAGCTCTCCACTTTCCCATCTCTGTGGCCGGAATTCCCCGGAGTCGGCACCATAGATTGACTCGAGTCTGTGTAAATGGTACACAGACCAAGCAATTCCCGTTCCCTTCGGAAGCATCACAGGTGACTGGCCGTCAGAGCCGCCGCCACGGGGTAGAACCGTAGCCTTGTTGGCAAATCGGATATTCATGGGAAGCGAAGGATATAATCGCAGGACTGTATTCATTTAGTATCTCGTAGATTAAGTATTCGCGAACGAACTTACTTTCATTAAGACAGCAGCGCAAGAACGGTAGCTTTTGGATATGTTCTCTCGTTATGTCGGAACCCTGAGGTACTGCGGATACCTCTTGCTTCAGTCTCTCTAAGCAGTCGGGATTGCGAACAAGATGGAAGCTATTTGATTATTGCGGTTAGAGAAGTAACATGGTCAATATGCTAGTTATTGGGGTTATATTGGCACCTACAACGTCCAACACAAGAGAGCAGCTGTTGAGTCTCGTCCAGCAACCAGAACATGTAGTAACTGATCCCTTACTAGCTGTTCATCCTGCATCTCTTTCCAGAGATCAATTATGAATGAGTATTTCTCCGAGGCCTTTTCCTCACCAAACTCATCCTTATACTTCAAGGCCTTCTTTGCGAAAAAGGTAGCCCAATCTTTGACAGCCTTGCAGGCCTTCTTGAATTCAGGTGGGTTGTAAAGAACTGCCAAGTCAGCCAGTCGGACACGAATTCCCATACCGGTTGCAGCATAGTCAAAGTTTGACCTCACAGCCTCTTGATCCTCTTTTGACAGGCTATCGTGCGGCTCACCAAATAGAAGCTCTGTGGTTGTACTAAGAGTGTATTCGAAGAGGAATGGCTTCAAGTCGACTATTGCTCCTACCGAAGCCTTTTCGAGTCCCAGGACTAGCTTTTCTGCATGAGGTGCGAATACTCGGATCGTTTGCTTCTGGATGCGTGTAAACTGCCGCTTAATGAGCTCGCGTGAATGCTTCCAGGCCGGCCCATCCTGACTGAAGATGCCTTCTCCAAGTAAAGGAGCGCTCGCAAGACGGCGGCTTCCCAGGCCGTAATCCTCAAATCTTGTGGAGAGTATAGTCTCTATATTTTCAGGATCCGATGTAAAGTAGCCGGTTACTCCGAAAAGTTCAATCCTAGCGGTTCCAGCAATGTCGAAATATTCAGTAAGCCGTTCGAAGGTGTAGTCGCTGAAAAAGATCTTGTATTGGCGGAAAAGGAGGTCAAGCGCAAAGGGCCATTTGTATGGCACTCGTGCAATGACTGGCTTGCAGTCAAACTTTTCTATGAGTAGTTTCTCAAACTAAAAATTGACAGAGACGGTGGTTTAGTCTATGACTATCAAACGATCTCGGCCCTCGGCCCTCCGTTGATGAGCCGCATATAGTGCAACATAAGATATCCCAATCCATATAGATGTAGGTATTAATAGAAACGCTAACATACCTTTAATTTCTCTTTGCGTCTAAGGTATACGCACAACCCGACTGTTGCTAGCAGAATCAAAAGACTAATACGAAGGCCGACTTTTGAGTTTGCCTCGAGTACATCCGAGAAGTCAACGAAGCCCCCTAATCGGGTTTCGGAGCGCGACACAGCCATCGTTACTCACAAACTTCGTGTAGCTGAAGGATAGGCTTCGGGTTTGGTATCGACAGAATTAGAATTTGATTTGCAGGGGAAAAGATGAAAGACGCTTATATATCTAACACTGGCTGTGGGCTAGGAAATATATCCTGAGTGACAGGTGTCTAGGGCGGCAAGGCACCCGGCGCCCAGTCACAGAATTCTCATGTGAATATTTGAAAAGAAGGGGGTTTGTATGTGATTTGTGACTGGAGCTGAATCACTGACTTGCATTCACGCGTATCAAAACTTCGATCTACCAATCATTTTTCTCGACATTTTTCACCGGTCGTATTACGCCTATCTACAGTACGGATAGCGGCAGATCTTATTATAGGTATAAGGTACCTAAGGTATCGAGTATGTACAGTGGACAAATAAGGCGGTTAGCCTACTGCTTCCCGTGTCACCACCACAATTTGAGCGCGGTAAGAACACTTGTATTGAATTGATAGACTTCCACCACTGTCTACCTGGGTAGGTACCTGGGTACCTACCTCCTACCTGAGATATCCGTCCCGTTGGGCCATTGAATCAATTCTCCCATTAGTCAATTCCTCCATTAGTCTGGATTTCAGCACATCAATACAACACATACTTGGTAGCCTCCCTCGTCACTCTCGAACTATCGCAGTCCCACATAATAACCCAATCCAACATGATTGAGAGCTTTGTGAATAACGTTAATAGCCTGGGCACAGCAAGTTTATTGTCCAGGCTAAAAAGTATTCAAGGCTTGCTTGAGCGATTGAGTGGTTCTGGTTCTGAATCGGAAATGATGAGTTTACTCGAGCAGGTTAAGGATCTTGTTGATATCACCTCGACACTAGATAACCTAGTGACTAGGGAGCGACGGAATCCTTCATTGATTCTACAGCCCCTTTCGGAGAGCGACCAATTACACCTGTGTCGCATCTGTACTGAGACGGCTGTAATTACGGATGAATTCATCGAGCTCCTTGAACCATTGGAATCTATCCTCAAAGAATCTAACCACTACGAAAGCCACTTAAGGGGCGAGAAGTGGTATGATGAAACCTTCCAGACGTGGAAACTTCGCACGGAAGTTTTACGAATGCTCTTCTCAGCGATTACTCTTCTCTACCATAAGAATAACACCGATGAGAATGGCAACTTGTCTGCTGAAACGAAGGCTTGTGCATATAGAATGGACCACCAAATCCAATTGATCAAGTCAGAAGTCCGTAGGATTGACGAGCATGAATCAATTAGAGTATTTCCTCTTATATGAACGTTGGTCTTAGATCATGTAGCTAACTGGTTCTAGATAAGAGAGGCTGTCAAAGTTGTAAGCGACCTCAAGCTACATCTCCCATTATATACGAATAAACATTATATCCTTAGAGGAGCCAACTCATTTTACACTGGTAGAAAACCCCAAATGGAGGTATTGAGGGGTGCGTTCTGCGATCAAACCTATTCCGGCCAGAGGAGATTCGTCATATATGGCTTAGGAGGCTCCGGAAAGACGGAGCTAACGCTTAAGTATGCGGAGACATATAGGAATGACTACTGGGGTGTATTTTTCATCGATGGTAGCAGTAGAGATAGGGTATTCAGTAGCTATGCCGAGATTGCAGCCATCGGTGGAGTTGGGCCAAACGAAAAAGCTGCTAAAAATTGGCTAACTACTCGCACTCTTCCGTGGTTACTTATCATTGATAATGTTGATGAAGAAGAAGTTCAACTTGAAGACATGCTACCACCAGGAGAAAAGGGATGCATATTAATCACATCCCGCAACCCAGCCCATAAGAGATACGGTACCGTCGGTGAAAGATACTTGGAACTGAATCCCATGGAGCAAAAGGAGGCTAACGAACTTATCCTTAAGGCAGCGGAAGAGCCGAGCCCATGGTCCAAGGCAGTCGTGGACTACGCGACTACGATTTGTCGCGCGTTGGGTTTCTTGCCGTTAGCTTTAGTACATGCAGCCAGGGCTATTCTAGAAGGCATTTCCGACTGGAAAGGATATCTGAATACTTATGACAAATATGTCAATAAGATCCGCCGTGATTACCGCCACCAGAGTAGGAGTCAATCGAACTCTAAGTCATATCTCGACAAAAGCATGAACGTTTTCTCATCCTATGAGATCTTATACCATTCGTTGGAAAGGCCAGAACAAGAGTTCCAGGACGCAATCGACTTGCTTCATGTATTTTCTTACTTCCATTTCCAAAATATTCGGCTTGATATCCTAGAGAACGCAGCCAGTAATCCATTCAAAGAAGAACAAGAAAGGGAAAGCGAACAGAAAAGGGACCAAGGTAGAATTCAAACGCCAGTAACGCCTACTCGGAAGCCGTTATCCATGCTCCTCCGGGAGGCAACATTTTGGCTGAAGCGAGAATACTTTTGGACTCCCTTACCTCTACCCGCGGCGTTGAGGAAGCCGAATAACATGTCTCAAGCTGCTTTCGAGGGCGAGGTGCGTATTCGGCTTACTAATGCACTACGGGTTCTCACGAGGCGATCACTCATTATAAGGCAAGATAGACTTGAAATTGGCCGATACAGTATGCACCCGCTGGTTCATAAGTGGCTTAGGGAGCGCCCCGAAATATCGATATCAGAGCAATCACTCTGGTGTCAAGTCGCGGCGACAACTTTAGCAAGGAGTATTCCTCTGCCCCCTCTTGGAGAGACGGAGGTTGAGAGGCAAATGAGACGCGAGCTCCTTCCCCATGCTCTTCACATTCGCGAACGCCGGGAGGAGATTAGAGGGATTTTAATAGAATACCGTGATCCTAGGAAGTCAAGTTGGCGGAAAGCAGATGGTGATTTCAGTAGGGTACAAGCTGACGAGTCAGGACGCTTAAGCCGCATGTACTACGATTGCGGTTTGTACCGAGAGGCCAGGGAGCTTCAATCCAAAACAAGAGAGTGGATTATCCAGCAGCTTGGGGAGGATCACCAGTTCTCTATCAGACTCACTCTATTCCTTTCAGAGACCCTCCGATCGTCGACGATGATAGATGAAGCGACCAAGTTACAACGCCGTGCTCGTCAGCTTTGCGTAACTTCGTTAGGCGAAGACCACCCATTAACATTGGAAGTGACAGAAATATTAGGGATGACACTTTGTTTTAAAGGTCGATGGGCAGAAGCTCTTGGCATACACGAGAAAAACGTGGAAAGACTTAGCGAGGTGTATGGACCAAAGCACGAAAAAACATTGAAAGCCATTCGGAACTGTGCTGCCGTGGACTATCGTAATATGGATTACGAGAAAGCTACAGGGCGGCTACAGATGGCCTGGGAAAGCATGAAGGAACTTCTAGGCGAGACCGATGCGGAAACACTGTGGTTCCTTCAGGACCTAGCGACAAGTTATCTACGATACGACGATGAACACTCCACCAAGGCATCACCGCAGCAGCTGATTCAGAGCCACGATCACTTAAACTTCATCACCAAGCAACGCCGGGAGACCCTAGGGAGGGAACACCCCTTCACTCTCCTTGCAATACTGCATCTAGCTCGATTGAAATCTTCATTGGGGAAACACGAAGAAGCGAAGAAGATCATGGACGATAACTTAAAAATTGCCGTACGAAATCATGGAGAAGATCACATCGCAGTAATAGCCGCGAAGACACATTATGCCAATATCCTCGTAGAGCTAAACCAATACGAGGAAGCGGAGCAAATATTCAATTTAGTCACGCAGAAGGCACGATACAAATTGTTCACGGATGAGGATGGCGACCATCCGGATCGGATTTCTGCAATGTGGTTCCAGGTCAAATGCTTAGACAAGCAGGGTAAATCCGCGGGCGCGTTAAGGCTGTGCGACAGTATCCTTATAGCGCTTAGAGACGTAGGTGGAAACAGGCTCGGTCTGAATCACAAGATTGTTAGAATGGTGGAGAGGAAGAAAGCCGAGCTAGTTCAACAGATCAGTCCCGTTGACTGATTAGTTGGTATTCCCAGCCGGGGATAGCACGAGTCATCTATGCATTTCACTTTACCAAGGAAGTGCCTCACCTATGAAGACGCACACAGGCATAGGAAAAGCTCGCAGGTGAGGAAGAGGAATGAAAAGAAGCCAGTTCAGTTCGGTATCGCTTTCAGTTTTCCGTAAGCTAAGACCACTCCTATGCTCCTTTCCCATGACCAATGAATATTGTCAGGATTGATCAGACATAACAGGGACCTATCTTGACATTACGAACTTTTAAACCGGGTTAGCTCCCTAGAGCTAGATATGCCTCGCTTACACTCCGAGCCTGCAGTCCTTAAGAGTTTGGAAGCATCTATCATAGAGAGCAAGGCATATTCCGAGGGACTCGGGACGGGCTTCGTGGTGACGTGCCAGGGCTGCCAGGTCGGCTTCTCACGCAAACTGCCTGCTGTATCATCACCATGAAAGATCCAGACTTCAGCTCGTGTACCAAGACCGCAAAGGTCGAGGGCTGCTACTTAGCACAGCACAATGTACCACCAGCCATCACTACCGGCATCGAGGAGTTTGATGCCGATGGCTGGAAAGCCACAGCTAACGTGCCGGGTTATCTTTCCAACTGGGCTGATATTCTGTCTAGGTTGGGTCGCTTGTCGAGACCAATACTTCAACCTGCAACCACAAGACAGACCTCTGCGACAATCACTTTAGAAGCAGCTTATCCCAGAAACCCAATCATTCGCCCTACTACCAATACAGACCATCCAACAGCAACGGCTCAGTAAACCGGCCCTACGCCAACCTCAGCCTGAAGCAGTGGAACGTCAAAGATATTTGGGCGTAGGCCTATAACTGTATACTTCCTGTTAATATTGTTTATATCGTGACTCTGAACTTGTTAGAATTCTTAATAACTAGGTGGAATTACGTAGGAATTTTAAAAACTGTTATGTGCTTGGATAGAAAGTTGTCGGTCCACGTCCCCACGAGGCTTCTTAATTATATTAATTAAGATGGCTAGTAAAGAGCCGTCAATCTCGTGACTTTCATCGCACTGTTGACATAATTTCTTGGTGCGTTTGCTTCGCTAATGATGCGCCTCTTCCGTATTACAGGGTATTCCGTGTTTGATTGCTCAGGACCAATTCAAGAGCCAACGCGAAACGCCTCTCCCACGCGAAGGGGGCTCCTAAATGAGTTACTTGATATAGTTATTCAAATATCTATAGAATAAAGCTAAAAAGGCCTAGAAGTCCGACCAATATCGACGTATTTGAGCGTCTCAACCTCAATGTTATATTAACCAGGTTCTCCGCATTTAATTGTACTGTCGCTCGGAGCCAAATACCCCTATCTTCGCCAAGTCTATGTGCACCTTGTCTACCTACCTAATACAGCAGGTAGCAATGATAAGAGCCAACATATTCTAACTAATTTCGGGTTGTCTCCCTAGTATTCGACCACAGTAGTGGAACAAGGCTAGATCGTTAATCGGATTGCCGGGCTGAATAGGTACCTACTATGTACGGTGATACTATGAGGTCCCCATCAACGCGCCAAGCCATTTTACGATCAGCGAATACGATCGACGTGAGCGTACCTTATGTCGTGCTCACCGTAGTCGCATTAATACCTGCCATGCCCCGAAAATCAGGGCCTTATCTTTTGATCCCCTTCCCTCACGTCCTTCGTTATTGAGGGCGTATAGACATTAGACAATGCAGCTTAAGAAAGCCGGCAAAGGCCACCAGGCGGTCGCTATGACCGTCTTGGTCAGCGCTGTTCTGTCGGGTCATACCTGGGCTGCGCCGTATACTCCACAGAGAGATCCGTTCAAGGTGTTGGATCCGCAGAATTGGGTAAATCCCGATAACATGACCTGGGCAGACTACAAAACACCTCCGGGGACGTCCTGGTCTGATCCAAGCCGTAAAGGCTCCGTTCGAAACTTCAACATTGCCCTCGTGGCCGTTGACTACCCGGACGAGCCCTTCGTCATTACGCAGGCGCCAAACTCGACCGTTTTTGGCAACCCGCTGCCAATCGTATCTAGTGTCAACCGTACGGAGGTGCCGGCCTTTTATCGCGATTTTCTAAACAAGCCCAGCGATCTCAATCACAATCACACCCTCCATGAGTATTGGATGGAGGATTCGGGTGGGCGATTTGGAGTGGATTTGACAGCTTTTGGTGCTTACCAGCTACCCAGTCGTTCATATCAGTACGGTATTGATGATGAGCGGGGCGGGTTCAACGAGGGTGCTTGTCCATCTGAAGGGCCGTGTTCTATCGACCTGCGAACAGACGCTCTAGGAGCCTGGCGTGCCGACGTGGGTAAAGACACCGCCGATTCCTTTGAGCTAGTCTTCATTCTCTCGGCTGGTCAGGATGAGTCTTCCACCTGGCAGGAGTTTGGCGAGATGAAATTCCTCACCCCTGAGGACGTGCCAGACGAGTTCGGGCCTCCAAATGATGATAGTCTACCCAATTATGCCGCAACGAGATACGTGAACTGGACATCCTGGCAGGCGGCGAGCGTAATCTGGCCAAATGCGGGCGGCGGCTCATCCACGCAGGCAGAAAGCTCGGGCATGTCCACCTACGCCCACGAATTGACTCACTTGCTAGGTATCGGTGATAATTATAACAACCCGTACAGCGACCCCCCGCGTCGCGCTTACACGGGCCCTTGGTCGATGTTGTCCCGAGGCAGCTTTAATGGTCCGGGCGGCCCGCACACACGATGGCAGATTCCAGCAACTCTTGGCGGAAGCTTGGGCTCCCTTCATACCGTTTCAGATAAACTGCGCATCAATCTAGCTGACAATTCGAGCGTGCTTACGGTCTCGCGTGAGGCTTTATCCAGCTCTGGACCCGTAGTCGCTGAGATCACCGCGAGATGCATCAATCCAGGAGAAGGGGAATTGTTAGGTTTACACGTCATTCTAGGCAAGGATCTTTCCCCATTCTGTAACGTCAGTACCGATGCCCTTTGCGATGGTGGCGGTTACAACAACTACGATATCGAAGTCATTGACCGAATGGGTGCCGACTCGTTTACCCCTGACTCGGGAGTTATGATCAGCAAGACTAAGGATGTTGATAATGCTCCTTTCCAGTGGACAATCGATGCCAACCCTCAGGACATCGATGTCATTGACTTCTACCGACCCGACGGCACAGCCTCCAAGTTGACTATAGGCGACTATCGCCAACTAGCCGATGCGTTGTTCCATGCAGGCACGCGATCAGGTAGTGAGTATGAATACACCGACGAAGCGAATCGGCTACATTTCTACATCATCGACATTCGTCGCGACGACGTTGGCATCCTTCATTACACCGTAGGTGTACGATCGCTTGACGGCAGCGGGTCTAGCACCTACAGCGTGGATCTAAGTGAGGGTCAAATTGCAGAGGGACCGAGAGCTAGGGCCAGCGTTAAGGGAGTAACATGCGCGTTCCACTTAACCAATTCTGGCATATACGTGGACGGTAACGCGACGCATCCCCAAGATCTGTCCGCATATCTGAACTCAGATATATATCGACTCAGCGCCGAGGTAGATAGCGAGGGGTGGCATGTCGAGGTACCAAACGCGCTGACAACTGCTAAATTCGGCTCGTCGAGTACGGTCAATGTGGCTGTTGGTGCTGCTGCAGAGGCCGCGGATAGTGCAGTTGTTAGATTAACAGCTACTTCTGAGTCCGACCCGACTATTTCCATCACCAAGGAGTGCCAGGTCAAGAAGTGAGACAGCCCATGGAATAAGTATAAGTAGTCATTCTCCTTTACGTATAGATGGATAAGATATAAGCTTTATTACCGTACCATTGCTGCATGCTAAGAATAATCGTGAGATTCTCCTATCATGACCCCTCGTCCGTATAATCATCGTTACATTAAACGCTCTACTTAAGAACTACGTCAGTAACTAACGTTCTAAACATCATCTAACTAACCTAACATCCTTCTATGACTAAGATTATTTGTCCCGGTTGAAATCATTATTATGTTCTATATAACTACCTGAGTTCCCAGCATCTTCCCGAGCGTTACCCTGACGTCATGGATTTAGACCTGGCAAACCATAAAGACGATGACATCGTCGAACGAAAAGTACCTAATACAGGTTACACGGTCGGTATTCATTTGGCATTTTCTATAACCCTAATATTACTATCTCATCTTAGCAATAATGTTCGGTTCAAGCAACACATTCGACCCCAATACCGACGTCCCAGACCTAAGCGGGAAGGTGTTTGTAGTGACGGGCGGCAGCGCGGGTATCGGGTACGGAATATCAGCACATATCCTGCAGCACGGTCCCGCGAAGCTTTATCTTCTCGGAAAGAAAGAAGAGCACCTGGCTGAAGCCGAAGAAGATCTCAAAAATTACGGCGATGTCTCGCGTGTTGAATTTATCAAGTGCGAGCTCGAGGATCTTAGACATACGGATGAGGTGGCGCGGAACTTAGCATCTAAACTCGATCGGCTAGACGCTCTTGTTCTCAATGCCGGGCTCGGTGTTGGAAAATACAACGAGACCAAGGACGCTCTTGACAGCCATATGCAAGTCAACGTGATCGCACAACACCACCTCGCGCGAGTTTTGCTTCCGAAGCTTATCGCAACACGTAACAGCCGACTGTGCTTCCAATCTTCCGAGATGCATCGCATGGGCACCAGCGGTGTCGAGTTTAGAGACGTTGCAGAGATTAACCAGGATATTGGGCCTACTAAACTATACTCGCGCTCTAAACTTGCGCAGGTACTACTATGCAGGACGTTCAACCGACGCAAGCAGCGTGGCGAGCTAGGTCTCGTGCCTGGGATGGGGCCATGGATTAATGCTACGCACCCTGGCGGCGTGAATACAGATCAGCCAAATCAGGCTCTTGACGCATACGGAACCGTCGGAAGTATGCTTATTCAGGCCGTGAGGCCGTTCATGAAGGAGCCGGCCGAGGAAGGGTGTCGACCCATATTGTTCGCTGCGACGAGCGATGCCGTCGCGGAGGAAAAGATCGATGGGCAGTATATTATACCAGACAGGAAGGTTTCAGATGTTAGCAATCAGGCCAAGGATGAAGAACTCCAGGAGAGGTGCTGGAGGTTAGTAGAGGGAATTTTGAAGGAAAAATTAGGAAACCTACCTTATGATACGAATTAAAGGCTAGTATAAGTACCTAAAGAATTGATGACTATTATGCATTGCACATACTTTGCCGGTATTTCTGTTGTCGTTAAACGTGTGAGAAATAGCCTGTTAGATGCTACCTACCAGCTATTCAATATACTATGTCATGAATGAACAGTTATGACTTTACATTCGATAAACCTTGAGTTTAGAATAATTATATATACCTACCTAGGTACGTAGGCAACTTAATCGACGAATGTAGCTAATTCCCACCCCCTCACACGTTATACACGGCCTCAGGGGGCGCATATCCAACAAGACGATCAGAGGATTGACTCGGCTGGAACTTCTTCTCCTTATACCACTCCTGGGCGGTCTGCGATAACTTCACAACTTCCTTAAAGTCGAAATCTTTCTTGGGAAGCATCTCATACACACCCTCCGACCACTCAGGTGCGACGTTGTAGATTTGAGCCAGATACTTTTTCTGAGGATGACATTAGCAACGTTTAACAAATATGTGTCGCGGTTAATTTCAAAACATACCTGAATTAATGGGTACTTGACAAGCTTCAAGTTCCGGGCTGTGTTGTAGCAGGTATGCTTCCTCTGCTCCTCGGTCATCACACGTTCCCAGAGCTCAGTCGCCTGTGCATAATCATTCTTCTTGCCTTCGTGCCACTGGGGAAGCCAAAGTCAGAAAGCGGTCGTTCAGTATATAATTAACCGTAAGGATCAACTCACGTAATGGCTCTTGCGGCTACAAATGTTATCCGAGACCTGGAAAGCCGGCTCCGCGGTGTCCGGGCGGAACTTGTGCACGAAACTGTTCGGCACGTATGGAGGGTTTCCCCCGTGATTAGCATCGACACGCATCTGCCCGTCGAAGTTAACCGACGAGAATGACTGGGCCATAAATGGGCAGTTGACAGGGATCTGGTGCAGGTTGACGCCGATACGATGGTACTGAGCATCCCTATAGAAGAACATGCGGAACTGGAGCAGTGGGTCAGGAGAATCGCCGATCCCGGGCACCATGCTGCCCGGTGAAAAGGCCGCTTGCTCCACATCCCGGTGGAAATCTTCCGGGTTCTTGTTCAGAACAAGGCGCCCAAATTCTTGCATTGGGAACTTGTCACGCGGCCAGACTTTGGTCACGTCGAAAGGATCAAAACCTAGCTTCTCTGCATCCGCGTCTTCCGGCCTCATGATCTGGACCTTGGCCGTCCATTCGACTTGCTCGCCGTGCGCGATAGTTTCCCAAAGGTCGCGCTTCGAATAGTCTGGGTCCTCGCCCATCTTTCTCACAGCCTCGTTATAGGTAAACTGCTTCTGCCCATGTTTGGCGATAAAATGATACTTGATATACACAAACTGACCCTGTTGGTTAATCCACTTGAAAGTGTGACATCCGTAGCCATGATTGAATCTCCATCCGACGGGAGTTCCGTGGTCGCTAAATAACATTAAGCCCGCATGGTTTGACTCGGGTGTATTAGCGAGCAGATCAAATGTGGCATCCTGGTCTAGAAGGAAGTTTTTGGGATCGCGAAACTGCGAACGGATTACGTCCGGTCCCTGAATGGGGTCGCGACAGAAGAAGACCGGCCAGTTAAGTCCCACGATATCATAGTTTCCCTCTTTGGTATAAAACTTAATCGCGAAGCCTCGCGGGTTTCGTGCCTCATCAGGGTACTCCCGACCAAGGGTTACGGTAGAGAATCGGATGAAAATGGGGGTCTTTTCACCAGGTTTCTGAAGGAAATTGGCTTTCTGCTCTCTTGTCAATCTTGTCGTGCCCAGCCAACCATATAGGTTCTACCTATTTGACTACATACCGTCAGGCTCGATACGTTCTTGGTACATTCGAAAAATCCAAATGCACCGCTTCCGCAAGGATGCACCATACCTAGTAACATATTAATTATATCTTAAACATTCTACCTAATATCTAATAACTTACGCTCTAAATTCTTCGAACGGTTGAAGGTCTGTTGCTTCCTATAAGCCGGATCAGTGATCCGTATTCCCTCACAGATCGTCTGGATAAGGTATGCTTACTGAAAAAGAAACACGTCGCTAGCTACGGGAATACCGCCAACGGTCTTACTATGGCATCTAAGATATAAATTAGCTCCGTATCGTGTCGACGGGAGCTTTATAAATACGCATCTGGAAACGGAATTGCCTCGTTGTTAGTGAAATAGGGGGCATCATCGGTACGAATTCCGCCTGCAACGCAGCCTGATATCTTGGCTGCGATATCCGCGGGCCCCTCGTTGGCGCTCATCATATGGGTTACGCGGTTACCACGCGATTCTCCCGTAGTGGAACTCCGAATTCCCGTTTTGATAGCTTCCAGCGGATGCTGGGTGATGCTCCATTGGTTGCTGTTCGCCGTGCCGCCGAGAGCGCTGGATGCCATCTTGGATGTTAGATGTGATTATAATTCGTATGATAGCAGTGTAGATCACAGGGTAATCTGAGACAATTTTTGCTAGACTGGGCTACATATATTATTATGCTATATGGCAGAGGATCACTATGGTTATTATTGAGTCCTTGTCTACCTACCTAGGTCCTCCCCTTTGCCACTTGTGTTGATGTAAATCTGACGATACTTTCACAGTGTACAAAATATTTACCCAATCAAAGTTGAATGTCGCGGGCTCATTAACCTATACAAGTCCATCAACCATCTTCAATGACCCTAAGCATATGGTTGCGGGACATATATCCGGGTTCTAGACACGGCTACCACGGTAAGATGCAAACCATAATACACATAATAGGGCTGACCGGCTTAGACTTTATTTCGGCATCTAGAATATAGAGTGAATGATGACGACTTTAAGGAATTAACTTCCAATATTCTACCTCTACATACTATCCTAATATTTCTCAACAGGGTTATACCATCATAATTTCGGGTTCATCTAAGGTGAACCCTACGTACAACATTGTATGTCATTACACCTCATCAAAATCATGAATCTTGACACATTGGAGAAAATACACCGTGAGCACTACATATATAGCATATCCCTCGAATAAAAGAATATACGCTAGATCATATACCTATGTTAAAAATAGCAGTGTACGATAGCTACCTATCTAATAATTAATGTAAGTTCTCTAAAGATTACCAATTTAACACTAATCACAGTTCATCGGTCAAACCTAATACTTCAGTCAACTCATCGATATCTCAAAATCATGATTTCTCCAATCACACCGTGCTTAAAAGACACGCTACGATTACATACGATGAAAATAACAACATGCATCTAATGAAGAGGTAAATAAAAACAGGTCATAAATTTAAAATCCTATCGGGTAAGTGTTATTGTTCGAACATAGGCTCATAACGATAGCATATGGCGGATTTTATGTTCCATAGAAGCCAACTCGAGAGAGGAGAAGTATCACGGTCTCAAGGAAAATTATTGACAACTGAGTATAACATTAGGTATTAATGGATCTAGCAATAATGGTTACTCATAAGTGAGTACTATCTACGAGCTACAACTGAATCCTAAAACTAGAATTAGTTATGAGAAGGCCGATTGCTTAGAATTTTACGTGCGGCATACAATTCATATAAGGTACCACCTACCTAATGTATGATGCATATAGGTACGACCAAATGATACTTCACGTTATGAAAGCGTCCACAATTTAAAGGCAAGTATAGGCATCCTAATAGAATAAATGATTAAGTCTTCTCAATGCATACCAAACCAATTGCTCAAGGGATGAAAATGAACTCACGAAAAAGGACAAAACAGCACGAGTTACCAAAATGGTTTTTTATAATTTTATATACGAATATTACGACAAATGAATCGTGAAATTAAATAGATAGCTATATAAAATGGTGGCTAAACCCCTTTTCTAAGCCATTTTAACCTATTCCTAGTCATGTATCCTCATCCAAACCTGCTTAAAACAAAGCAATCTCACCAAACCTTAAAACACCCTTTTGTATGCAAGCCTTTATACGCACCTATGTCGCTTATAGAAGAGCAGCAGCGACAGCGGCGGCGACCACGAATCCGAAACCACGCTCCAGGTGAGCGGCAGCGGCGGTCGGAATGGTAGGGTAGCCGGTGGTGGAAGACTGGGCCGGGGGAGGAACGGGGCTACCAGTGCCGGCAGGGGGCTGAGGTACCTCAGTGCTGACGCTGGGCACAACGGTAGGGTACGGCGGCGGGGTCTTGATGGAAGTCGTCAAGCTGCTGGGGCCGGTCGGGTATCCAGTGGGGAAAGGTGTGGATGTGAAAGTCGGGAAGGGCGAGAAAGACTTGGTCGGGTAGGGGGTGAGAGTCTCAGTCGGGTAAGGAGTGAAGGTCTCGCTTGGGTAAGAAGTCTCACCCGGAGTCTCAACAGGACCAGTAGGGTAGGGGGTCTCGCCAGGGGTCTCAACCGGGCTTGTGGGATAAGGAGTCTCACCGGGTGTCTCGACTGGGCCAGTGGGGTAGGGAGTCTCGCCGGGGGTTTCGACCGGACCGGTAGGGGAAGGAGTCTCACCAGGTGTCTCTACGGGGCCGGTAGGGGAAGGAGTCTCACCAGGCGTCTCTACGGGGCCGGTAGGGTAGGGAGTTTCACCCGGAGTCTCAACCGGTCCAGTAGGATAAGGAGTCTCACCGGGTGTCTCAACCGGTCCAGTGGGGGAAGGGGTCTCGCCAGGGGTCTCAATGGGACCAGTGGGGTAAGGGGTGAGAGTCTTGGTGACGGTAGGAGTCTCGATCGGGGTCACAGGGCAGACGGTAGTACCGACAGAGATGGTCTCAGTGGTGGTATGCGGCTGGCCAGGCTTGCCGGGGCAGCTGGTAACCTCAGGTCCGCAAGAAGTGATAGTGCGGATAGTGGTCGAGTAGATGGTCGAGGTGGAGTACTCAGTAGTAGGGGCAGACGTAGGATAGCCAGGAGCAGTGGGGCTGGAAGACGGGTGTCCCTTAGTCAGGCTTGTGGTCGGGTGCTCCTCGGAAGTGTTGGAGGTGGGAAATCCTGGAGCAGTAGCAGTCTCCGAAGTGGACGTTACAGGGCATACTGTAGTAGTGAGGGGGATAGTCTCAGTAGTGACGTGAGGAGTACCCGGGCAGTTGGTGACAGTAGGCGCGCAAGAAGTAACGGTGTACCTGGTCGTCGTGTAGATAGTGGAAGTAGTGTACCTGGTGGAGCTCAGCGTTGTGCTCAGCGTTATTGTGCTACCGGGAACGCTGGTGGGGTACTCTACTCCAGTGGTCGGAACGTAGGTAGAGATGGAGACGGTAGGAACCGAAGAGCTGGACACACCAGCGGAGACAGAGGTGGAACCAATAGGGACCGACGTGCTGTAAGAGGAAGAGTGACCAATGGGGACAGAGGTAGAGCCGGTAGGAACCGATGCGCTGTAGGAAGAAACGCCAGTCGGAACAGTGGTGGAACCAGTAGAAACTGATACACTGGAGGAAGATACGCCGGTGGGCAGAGTTATAGGGGCAGTACCCGAAGTGCTGGAAACACCAGTGGGAAGTGTTGTAGGAGCGGTGGGGTAAGGGGGCACAACGGAGCTGCTGCTGCTGCTGGGGACCAAGGTAGAGGAAGAACTGCTGCTAGCCTCAAAGCTCGAGGTGGAGCTAATCTCAGACGAAGACGAGCTGGCACCGCCGGTGGGGTAAGTTGGGTACGACGGAATAGATGTAGTCGATAGAGTGATAGCACTGGAAGAAGAGGGAGTGCTACTCTCGGAGCTCGAGATTGAGATTGAGATTGAGCTACTCGGGGACGAGGGGACGGACGTGGAAGATATCGCCTCGGTGGAACTAGAGCCGGAGACCTCGGATGAAGAGGTAGAGCTGGAGCTGGCCGGGTAAGACGACGAAGCTGAGCTTGTCACTTCAAAGCTGGAAGTGGAGCTCGATTCAGGGTACGTCGGGTATCCTGGAACGAACGTAGAGGAGCTGACAGCGGACGAGGACGAAGCCGAAGCCGAACTTGTTACCTCGAAACTCGACGTAGAGCTCGACTCGGGGAATGTCGGGTATCCTGGAATAGACGTAAAAGAGCTGACGGCGGACGAAGCTGAGCTGGAGCTGACGACGTATGAAGACGAAGCCGAAGCGGAGCTCGTCACCTCGAAGCTTGAAGTAGAGCTAGACTCAGGGTACGATGGGTATCCTGGAATTGATGTGGAGGAGCTGATGGCGGACGAGGAAGAGGCCGAAGCGGAGCTTGTAACCTCGAAACTCGATGTAGAGCTTGACTCGGGGTACGTTGGGTAACCTGGAACTGAAACGGACGTAGAGGAGCTCACGGGGTACGTTGACGAAGACGGAGTGCTGACCTCAGTCGAGGTCGAGCTCTCGGGATACGTTGGGTAACCCGGGTATGTTGGGTATGGCTCAGGCGCAACGGGGTAGTTACGCTTGGAGTCAGCACTGGCAGAGCCGGCGAGGGCGAGAGCCCCCAGGCTCAGTAATAGACCTTGCATTGCGGTGACTTTTATGCACTCGGAAGAGTATTATATTAGGTATTAAAATATATTCCTAGCGATGGACAAGAAACGACCGTGATCTGAAGCGACTGTGGTGCGCAAGTCAAAGCGAGTGAACTTGGCTGTTTATACAGTTGAGCAAGCCAGAAGCCGATGAGGAGACAAAAACATCTGGGCGGCGAGGGACTCTTTAATATCCATACGATTGAGTGACATCGCTCTGCTGGTAGGCCTTAAGGAGAGTGAAAGACCGGGGCGTCGATACCAGTCAATCTTAGGGTTCCACAAAGAACCAAAGCCCCGTAAATTCCATGAAGCCATGATCCATCACCTATCGTCTCCGCAGAGACGGCGGGTGGGCTGACGTTGAGGCTGGCGGCGCAGGTTGTACCTCTCGTAAACCCCAATACGACACAGACACGAGCAAAGCAAGTGGAGCTGCATTAAAGCTCGACTCGCATTGGTGTAGATCCTGCGAAGGGTGCCATGCCAAGTTGCCGTCTTTATGTACTGTCCACCAATGAGCCCAGCCGCTGGCGCTTTGGCCGTGACACCGTACATACTGTAACCTAAATAGTCTTATTGGAATAGTATGCAGAATGATTGGCTATCATCTTCAGATGCCCCTTGAATACGTTAGCGCACGCTCCAAGTATTCCCAAATTTAGCATCTTTAATCTCCAGTCAAATACGATAGATAATACCTAATTCACACGCGTAGAATATGATAAGTCGCTCTAAATGGCGGTCATTGTCCTCTTTTGTAGAAAAGAGCGGAGATCATCGAGAACCCAACCGTGTACATGCATATATAGCCTTTGTCGTGCGTGGACCAGCATCCTATTCGTGATACTAGTGTAGTCCCAAGATCTCGTTCAGTGTTCCTTTGTTATTGTATGTATATGCATCTACATAATATTCACAAAATGCTACGTAGTAGCTGAATAGAGATCTCGGTGGACCGGTAGATCCGGGTGGTGCCGGAGTGGCGTCTTCCCAATCTGGAATAGGAATAGGGGCTGTTGGAAAACGCTAGAAATACCAACTAATTTGCAGCTTTCGGCTCATGTTTGGTAGTGTATAAGGCTACCTTTCTATCATAGAAACCTGTTTCTCCATACTTCACGAAGCCTCAGTGGAATTCTTCAGAAGTTTTCGGGACTAGTTACAGGTAGTTTAAGCGTACACCCGTTAGCGGGCAACGATCGCGGTGATATGTAGTCCACGCCATGACGCTGACTTGCATTGGCCTGACCTGCATATCACCCGGGCCGAGGGGTTTGTTGCTCGCGATGAAGTTTCTCAGTATTGTGTAGGTATTTGAAAGCATGCTCAACTATGTACTTCTCGGCCCAGTGAAAATTTTCGTACATATGCAGCCATAGTTTTGGTTCCACTGTTGTCGAGTCTTGTTTCTCGATCTGGATGCATTTCAGGGGCACGGAGACTCACGTAATCATAATAGGGGTATAGGGGTATCTCATCCATCCTACATAAAAATACATGTAAACAACCCGCAGCTTTGTTCTTGTCCTGTTTTAATTCTAGTTCACTTCTGCGCAATTAATAGGCGATTACATGCAATCCCCTTTCACCGATGCTAGGAGCATGTGAGAGAGTGGCTCAGTATGAATAACAATATTGGCCCGATTTGCGACGACCGGCTTTGTCGGACAAGGGGGCTTATGATTACCAACAAGGTACGCAATTTCAATGCCGAAGGGGGTTAGTCGACAAGGTACCTTGGGTGAAATAAATTGTTACGAGATGTTGATGTTCAAACTAGTGAAAAAAGAAAAAGAAAAACCGAATCACGATGACAAGAACGAGAGAATTGTATTGCCGTAAACAATTCTCTTTGCTCAACTCCTCACATCCGTCTTAGGCCCTATTTCGTACTTGTTATACGGATTAGTGACGTCACCTTTACACAACCGAAGCTCCATAGTATAACTTGTACGTTGCTGAGAATTAGTCTAACAAGACTACAGGCTTTAGCAGACTTCTTAGCTTCGTTGAATGAAAAGATTCTAACTTGATCCACTTCCCAAAAAACTTGGGTAAACATCGCCTTCATTCTCCTTTGACGATCATACAGCTAGTTGCTGTTACCTAAAGTAGCGCAATAAATACGAGCCGCAAGTCCCAATTGGTTGCTGAAGGAGCCCGAGAAGCCATGGCATCAAGTCCGCTTAACGGTATGGAGTGAACACCTGCATGCTTTAACAACTCACCCGCCTAAGCCTCTCCGCAATTACGAGCTTTCGTGCTGTAGTGCTTACTTACTCACACTTTTGGGGATCGTCCGATCACAGTATTCAAACAGCCACTCAAGCTGTTCTCCCAGCAACCTATGACTGGTATCTTCCGTGACGGCTACTGTCGCACCGGCGGAGGCATCGATCCGGGCAATCATGCCGTGGCCGGTATCGTTACTGACGAATTCCTTGATTTCTCCGCCTCACGCGGGAACGACCTACGCCAGGTCGGCTTGAAAGGCGGCTGCAGGTGGTGTCTGTGCACTTCCCGCTGGCTTGAGGCCTATCAGGCATATCGTGGCGGTAGGGTTACGAATCTGGGCGTTCCCCGCGTCGACTTGGACGCCACAGAAGACAGTGCGCTGGGGATGGTCGACATGGATACTTTCAGGCAGTTTGCTATCAGGCATGATCAGTCGAATGTGAATGGGAGCGGAAGCGGAAGCGGAAGCGGTGCTACGTGAGTTAACTCCCCCGCGCTGTCGGTCCTGTATCGATTTGCGTTAGCAGGGGGGAGTACTTGTTTGTGGCTACTTATTGCACACAACCTGTATGATGATAGCCTGTTCCGGAGCACAACTATATAACCTTGATTCGAACTCTTAGGTAGATGCGAGGTAACCAGAGGCTGAAGATAGGTCTGAAGTCTAGCTTCGTAATATATTAGATAAAAGCACTGGACTCCATTTCATCTCAGTCTAGAATATTCTCAATATAGGGAAATGTAGAAAAATGCCTCGACATTCCAGTTCACTTCGCTAACCTTCGCTCTACAACAGACAAGATGTTACCGGAATTATTGCCGAGACGCCGTCACACTACGAATTGCAGGTAGCCGCTCTCTAGACCAATTCGGCTATCCCGTCGGGTTCGTCTAGTTTGATTGAAACTGGAGGATGTCAGTGACGGCTTTCTAGCTAACAGTGATTGAAGAGTCAATAGTGATTGAAGAGTCAATAGTGATTGAAGAGTCAATTGTGAGCCTGCAGTCTTTGATGTGGTTGAGTTTAGACGCGAAATGTCTAAAAGGGGAAGAGTTCGGTTAGATCTGCGCGATACGCTCGAATCTCAGCAAACGGCGTTTAACACTCCTAAATCGGGAGTGTGAGGAGAAGATCTACCTAATCCTCGGCGGCAAAAAAATAGGAAGAGCGCTAGAAAATACCAACGCCGCGGGAGAGTTACTAGAAATAGATCTCGTGGCGACAATAAAATGCCGCATTCAAGGTAGGTAGATCTTATTTACCCACCGATATAGGTACGATCGAATACGCAGCAAAATCCGGTAAAATAAATAGGGGGCTACGATTCCTGTAACCGTAGTACCGTAGATCGCTTGAATAGGTACCTAGGGTTCCCTTATTGCATTTTATCGGACGATCATCCCAGCTGCATTTTACATCTAGAATTAATATGCTTCGCGACAGAGTTATCAACATGAATTGGCATTGAATTCACTGCATCTGCGGTACAACGGCTTACGTTGGCTGTGCAACATCCGTCAGCCATTAGGATCATCTGCCAACTTTTAGGAGGCGCTCTCGGACGTTCTTGTTCTTCTCAGTACAGCTTTTCTCAGCTGCTTAATAACTTTTTAGGAACAAAGCCATTATCAACCTTGCTTCGCCCAGTCATTGGTTTGTGGGCAATTAAGGGAAAAGCGCCACGATAAGTGCCGATGATACCATGAGTGTGCTCTTGTCGGCTTGTCAACTCGTCACCCCCGGCTTCTTCTGGAGGGATCCGATTCGGACGTTGTCTTTGACCTTTCTGGGCGCATCATGCAAAGTGAAAGCGCTTGGTAGGTGAAGCGTTTCTATTGTCCGTGATTGGCTATAGAAATCCTACTTTGACAAATGCTTGTTAGCAAGTATGGTATTCCTATTGCTATAACGGCAAACACTTAGCTTATGTAGTATTTCAATTTAGGACAAACGTAAGTGCAACTTCCGGCGAGGGATCGAGGTTTATAGGTGGTGTGCTTGCGGTACGTGGGTAGGTAAGTTATACCACGAAAGAAGCAAAAGTTGGGGAATTATTGGTGGGAACTTGGGCTTGGGTGACAGGTCGATAGAATGCAGGTGAAGGACACTACATGGGCTAATTCCACGCGGCTGCAAGGATTCAGGGGTGAACCCGATAGTCGACGCCTGGTCTCAACGGTACTATGTACCTAACCTAGGTATGTGGCGTTTGCCCGAGTTGAATGTCAATATAGTTAATATATATCGATGGTTATGAAGCGTCTTCTTCTTCTTCATTTTTAAGGCTGATAAACATCCACAGTTCACTCCACATCCTACCAATCGATCTTCCTTTATGTGCGTACTTGCGTGTGATGAGGGGTATCTGCAAGTCACCATGTAAGTCAACTAACCCTAAGTAAGTGAGGGTCACAAGTTGAACCAACCAGTTATTTTGTAAATATGACATTATATAGTTAGGTACCTACCTATCTATATTTATATAGCATATGACGACCCATGTGGTATTCATGCTTGACCTTACTTGGTAAGCTTTAGTAAGGATCAAGGATATTAATATGATATTAAAACATTTCTACTTTTTGAGATAATCAAACATTGAAGGCTGGGTAATCACAGAAGTACAATATGTCTAACTATATCTTCGTTGAAGATATTTTAGATAAAGTGACAATGCCGAACTTTGGCAGTTAAGATCTTACATAGTTACACGCTTAGGTACTGTAGCTTCATTGGTCCACGGGTACTTGATATACACACAATCATACAGTAAATATTGTGCGGGGGAAGGTCCAAACCGTTTAGTGGAATCATCGACCACTTAGGTGTCGCAGGTACCTGAAAACCCCACCACTAACCGTTAGTTCGTCTTTAGTTGATCCAATAATCTCTGAAACTTAACGCGAATTCCCCAAAACATCGTCTTGGCTTTCCAACTCCAGCAGGATTGGGAAAGTCTTGGGTCCCCTAAATCCTCCTCCATTGTCTCTTTTTCCCCTTGACTCTGTACAGATCTGATTCGCGTCGCGCTACTTTATTCCCGATACCTAAACTTACCAACTTCAACTATCGAATCATTGGAGGCTTTGGAAGTCTTGATCGGATCAAAGATCCCTCTTTTTTTTTTATCGCATTTATCCTTCAATCTTTGTTATCGCTCGTTTCCTATCACCTAATCTATTCGCGAGCGGTGCTCCTCATACGTTTTCTGACCCCTTTAATACTTTAATACTTACTGTTTCTAATTACGGATACACATCTCCCCGATTCGTCGTACCTTACATGCTTACCTACATGCTGCGAACCTCAGCCCACTTTGACAATTACCTGCTTTGTCACTCAAGTCGTTTCTCTGACTGCCCGTCCAAGTACGAATTCGGCCAAACAGTGACGAGTGCGGACGAATCAAACCTCGGTCGCGATATTTCAGGTGTGTCGAAGGTCGGCAGAGGTCGGTAGCAGCCAGTTTGACCTGAATATCGGGAGGGTCGATTCACAAGCGAATCCTCTATATTCTTGTCTCTGTGCTGCGTATGGCAGCCCCCATCTCGGCTGTCGTCCAACCTGCCCTGTTTAACCTAAATCGACCAATCGACGTCCTGCGATGCATTCGTCAGACAACAATCGACGGGGCCAGCGCCGTCGACCGGATTTGAATATTAACACCTCGAGTCCTATTAGTAAAGATCGCGATTCTATGCCTTCTATGCCTTCTACGCCGTCGGCAAGGTCGAAAACAAAACCACCCGTATCCAGTCGAGCATATCGAGTACCTTCGAACTTACCACCTTCACGCGACTCGGACGATTCTTTTCTAGATAATGGTTCTGACGAAATTAGAGGGAACGAACACGATCTGCCTGACCTGCCTAGAGGTAGGAATGTGAGAGATTCGCACGACTTGTCCCTACCGTCCCGTCAGTTCACGCGCGACTCGCTCGTGACTAATATGTTGACGTCTCTTGATCAATTCTCCCTGGGACAAATACAGACGCCTGTGAATAATTTGTTTGATGACGATGATCCTCTTAGTCCGCCGAGGGGAGACGAGTACTCAAGGTCTATGACGGCTAGTTCCCGACCGGGACGCACGTGGAGCTCTGGTGCTGGGCACGGCCATGGATACTCGTACAGCTCCGACTTTGAGGGTACTGATGACGGATCTAGCAGGATGTCAGGCCAATTCTCGAGAGCGCGACGTAGCAACAGCAGTTCAGGCTTTCAGTCTGGCTTGGGTCGGATCAATAGTTTGCGAGAACGTAGCCAACCCAACGCAGCTGGTGGGCGAGGGTTGCATTCGAGAGGAGGTAAGACCAGTCAAAGCAGTAGCACCAACAGTATCGATGCCGGTGGTTATGCCCAAGTCCTAACCACTCAGCGGTGGGCCCACGGTATCGGTGGGAGGTCATCAAGTTTTGACTACGGACAAAGGCCATCTATAAATTCTCTTAGTGCTTGGAAGACAGATTTTTCTAACACGTTCCTTGTTGATGATTACGAAGCAGCGCCGACGCCAACGATACCTATTGGGCCCCGTCGCCTGAATATGCCGTCCAGTCCCGTCGGTCCCCTACCTATGCCTCCGCCGGAGCCCGAGGCGAAGACTCCCGATCGCAAGAAAGCTGCTGCTGCAAGATCGAGAAGTAGCACTATGAGAACGACGCAATCTAAGCACGGTGGTCCACGCGAGGTGGCGCCCCCGCCCCCGCTACCCTCGGCCGATCTAGATGCTGCACCTGCACCACATATCGGGTATGAGAAGTCTAAGGAAGCCTTGCATGGCGCTCCCAACCCACCACCGCAGGTGAAGCAGGGGTTTTTCAGTAGGATATTTGGCTATCGGAATAGTACAAATGTCCCGGAGGCTAAACCGGCGCAAACTACACCGACGCCAGCAGAAAGCGCTGAGCAATCTAACAAGTTACAGCATATAGCATCGCAGACGAAAGCCCAATCGACCCCTCCGTCAAGGGATTCGCAACGACCGTCTAACCCGCCTCAGATTCTCCATAAGAAGTCGTCGTTTTTTAGAAGGCGGAAGAAGTCTATAGCCGAACCTCCAGTACCACCGCCCCCGGTACCTACGCCGATGGAAATTAGTCGAATTAAAGAACAAGCTATTCAACGTGAAGCCAGTCCTGTTAGCAGCTTACGCGAGATCATGAGTCCATTTCTACAAGAGAACAAGTCGTCTGTGCCTAGCGCACTTTTATCTCCAGGACCTGAGGGTTCGCCGCGGGTACGAGGTTACGAGTCGCAGGATGACGAACATGCTCGTAAGACTCGAGGCTTTTCTCCTGACTACGAGCCTAGTCCAAATGCTACTATCCGGACTGTAAAATCTACATCGGCCTTAAGAGGTCAGGACGCTGCCCGTAGGCGGTCCCAAATGGAAATGGAAATGGAAATGCGAGACCTCCCTGAATTACCTCCTATGAAATCAACCGAGGCTCGTGACGCGACATTCTTCAACGATAGCAGTGATGAGGGCGAAAAGTCGTGGCCTAGTGGAACGCGCAAGCAACAACAGCGGCAAAGCAGCAAATCTCCTCCAAAGATGGACGATTCAAAAGGTGGATTCGAGGGAACTGGAAGCCACGAACAGCATGACAGCAGAGATGAAGATTATAGACCTACTCCATCACCCAACTTGCTGCTTCAACAGAATATTACACCCGAAGAGGAGGACCACAAAGTTGCTAGCCATCGTCAGGGTCCTAAGAGGATGTCTACTTTCCCCGGTTCACTTAACAAGTCTGCCAATGGCTTACCTAGTGTCAGGGTGGATAGTGCTGAAAGCAGCCCAAAGGTCGTGGGTTCGCCTTTAGATGAGCCCGAGGTGTCGGTAGGGGAGCCGACAGAGGACGACCGGCAGAAGGCCCAAAAGATATTTGACGGGAACGAAGATTTCATCCAAAAGGAGAAAGCAGCGGCTTGGATGGGAGAGGAGGGTCTTGTGAGACAAAGAACCCTAAAGGCATACATAGATCTCTATGACTTCACGAACGAAAGTGTTCTTGCCAGTTTGCGACAAATATGTAGTCGTCTCGTCTTCAGGGCCGAGACACAGCAGGTTGATCGGATATTGGTCGCATTTTCAAATCGGTGGTGTGATTGTAACCCCAACCACGGTTTCAAGACTACTGGTAAGCAAGCTGGACTACATCGTTGTTTATGACTAACGCATTGCAGATGTAATACATACTTTGTGTTATTCAATCATGCTCTTGAACACCGATCTCCACTTGGCAGACATTGACCAGAAGATGACCAAGAGCCAATTTGTCAAGAACACCATGACTACTGTTAAGCATGCGATAGCCGACTCTGTTCCCGAAGCGTTTGACCGGGCTAGCATCTTGCCCGGTAAGAATAGTTCACTGAATCCCTCCGATTCAGACATCGGAACTGCCTTTGAACCGGAACCAGAGCGGCCCAGCTGGAGATCATCATTCATGCCGCTACCACGATCAGAGTCGTCGATGGGTAACTACTCAGACGGTCCGGTTGACACGTGCGGACCGCTCGTAAAGACTCCATTTGAAGGTTCCATGAAGGCGTGGGTCCAGCAGATGGAGCTTGTATTAAAAGATATTTATATTTCAATTCGTGATGAAAGACTCCCTCTCTTTGGAGCCGAGCCGGGTCAATCACAGAGCCAATCGCAAGGTAGCCTCTCGGTCATGGGTATGCTCAAGCGCAGCCCAAGCGTCTTGTCAAAGACACCATCCGAGGGTCACATCTCTGTGCGCGGTAGGATCGCTGACCCGACCCGCAATCCTGGAAGTAGATGGAATTCAAAGAGTCGGTCTAGGCCGAGGTTCCCTGGCAATGGACTCTCTTCGAGCCGTACAAGTTTCGAAGATGGAAATTCAATCTGGAGTCCTACTACCTCATCTGCTACGTGGAGCCGTTACTCGTTGGGTAGGACCCAGACTTCGATATCTATGGACTCGTTTAGTTCATACCCGCACGGTGACTACCAGCAATCAATTGGGTTTGCTAATGCTCTAAGTCAAGCTATAATACGTGAAGATGTCCCCCCAGGCACCAGTGGACAATCCATCATGAGCGAGGAGGTGCAAAATAATCAACTCCTCGATGATGAATCGCTCGAGCTTGCTGGCTCGCCCTGGGTGAAAGAAGGCCTTCTCATTCATAAGCATCATCTAGATGGCGTGGATAAGAAAGCTAAAGAGAGAAATTGGGTCGAGATTTTTGCTGTCGTCCAAAAGGGAACAATGAGCCTCTTCTCCTTCTCGACCAAGTCAATGCGCCAAAAGGCTCGCGTTGGCCGCAAGCCCCCTCCTGGTGCCGCTGTTGGCGGTGGGAACTGGCAGGAGAATGCTACCAGTGTCGGGTCTTTCTCGCTCCGCCAAACACTCGCATCCGCCCTCCCCCCGCCCGGTTATTCTCGCAGCCGGCCAAATGTTTGGGCCCTCAGCTTGCCCAGCGGCGCTGTACACCTCTTCCAAGTTGGTACTCCCGAGATTAGCAGGGAGTTCGTTCTCGCGGTCAACTACTGGAGTGCCCGATTAAGCACACACCCGCTAGTCGGCGGTGTCAGCAATATGGAATACGGCTGGAGTGATGCAATTATCAATAACGCCCTTATAACAGCCATCAACGAGCCACCCCCGCCCGTGCGCCCAGGTAGCGCAGCAGCAGGTCTCACCAGCATGCATAGTCGCCAAGGTAGCCTCCAGAGCAGCATTCGTTCGTCGTTTGACGTCAGTGGTGGCTCGCGTGCTAAACTACCAGGCGACCGAATCCATATTGCCGAATGGTCCGCCCCGGCACAATCTCTGCGTCCTAGCAACGCCTCCGAAGATGAGCAGTTAGAAATCCTGGAGACTTACGTCAAATCTATTGAAGAAGACCTCCAGAAACACAATCAACTCAGATCACCTATGCTCCTAGCCTTTACACCGCGTGGCCATAACGCTGCCAAGGCGATGGCAAACTGGGAGCGGAAGAGCAGTTATTTGCTGCGTGAGATCGTTAAGTTTAGGACGTATGTCGATTGCTTACAGCATGCCAAGACGAAGCGTGCGGAAATCTACGCCGAACGCGACAACGCAAACCGTGCTCTACACGGCGAGGACATCAGCGACGACGACGACGATGACGTCCATGATCCGGAGAGTGCCTTGGCCATTCAGGTCGAATAGAATCCGAAAGTCCTTAGCCCGAAAGATACAACAAAGTTATATTATACATAATTTCAATTTTCCAGTTCGAGTTTGGTACTAGCGAATCAATGTAACAAAAGTGAAGTGGTGGGTGAGAGGGGTTACTTTGTATTACATTAGAAGATGACGGGGATAACTCGATACCCGCAGACCGGCGCACGCGTGGCTCCTTGTTTTTGCTATGCTGTAAATATCACATGTGTTATAGTTCGGGGAGAGCTTTCTCCTTGTTGTGAATATCCATATTGAACATATTGAACGAGTAGACGATTGTACGTTGCAAATTTTTGATGCTCGAGATAATTACCGGACTAAGCAATATTCAGTTGATGCTTGTGCGGCGAAATGTCATGCTAATGGCTTCTGATTCTGTACACCTGGTATACCTTGTACTTTATTAATTCTATTGACTCTGCGGCTGTACAATACCTATTAATGAGTATAGTTAACTAAGTCAAGAACATGTTTTAGTTTAATATACCAAGGCTGAGATTACAGCAAATTTGTGATACTCTACCCCTTATCCGACCTCTTCATTTATCTCATTAACTACCCTCGTTTACCTACCAATTCCCTAGCCGCTTTCCGCCACAAAAAAAAACCAGACGTTTATAAAACAAAACGTATTATCACCTTACAAGGTCCCTACTGGTTCGAACTCCACATACCATTTCTATGCATCCTCATTCACCCCTTATCTCCATGGACATGGCACTTTCACCTACCTCGCTATAATTCCGTGCACAGCACAAGATCTCCCGCGTCCGGTATCAAGTCTTGGAGACCCAAACCTATGACAATGAGGATAGCGCGGATGGGCCAACGCCAGAATAGTTCCCAGTGCGACACTAGCAACTCGGTAGGGTTCATGCTGAAGAGCTTGAGGAACCGGTCCCGGAGATGTAAGTAAGATTCTGGGGTAGAGCCGTAATTCTTACCCATGTTGGTGAAGGGGAAAGGAGAAGATGGAAATAGATAGGTGGCGGCGCAATATGAGAAGTGGCGTAGTGTAGTCGACACGGGTAGGATTTCTAAAGGATTTTTTTACACTCCCTTGGTGAAGGAGGGGTTTGACGAAAACCTGTAGGTCGGTATGTGTGCTCACTTGAATACGATTCTTGGGCTTAGAGAGGACCTATTGTGGAAGATACCTTTTATATATTGACACAGATGGCTCGACGAACAAAGGGGCCTCGCAAGAATAATTGAATTATAATATAACAATGCGTCTTTGTTAAGGCATCTTGCTTCTTTTCATGATTCAATCTAAATCGAGGAGGTACTCTCATGCTTCATTTTCCGTCATCTCCTTTAAGCAACAAAAGGACATTTATGCAAGCATAAAAGGAGAGCATGATAAGAAATTGCGGACGGTGAGAGCCTTATGAGATTACTAACGACCATAGCAATAGAGAAGCAATAGATATATACATAGGGGTATCTGTTATGCCCGCCCAGCTCCAAGGAAAAAGAATCTGATAACCAAGTTCCTCTCTGTATATAACGCCATCGTATATAGTAAACCAACTCTAGAAATGACTGCTTAAACATTATACTTGGACTTCCACGAGCTCCTTGCACATATCTAAAAACCTGCTTCGGTACTCCTCGCTATCCGTGGTGATGCTCATCGGCCCTTGGTCGTCAATGAGGTTATAGCCTCGGACTAACGTAGTCATTGCCTTTGCATGGATTGTGTGCTTAGCCCAGAAGAAATCCAGGATGGAAGCTCTATAAATCTCTCTACCGTCGCTCGATACGACACCCGTCCTCCAGCTCGGTGGATTTGGTGGGGTAAAAGGTGGCTGGACAGGCGGGATGGATTCATCGCCGGCCTCTTCCAACTGGATTAAGGGTTCCGATTCGACCGTCGGAGCGTCTAATGCAGATATCCGAACGAGAAAGAGTGAATAATCGACAGCGTTGCAGTTCGCAAGAAGTAGGGTGTCATTTTCTATCTGACGTTCAAATTCGGTAGCCTGTGCTTCGGAGAGCCGGATCTTGTCGCTGAATTCATCGGGAAGCTTGGACTTGGTAGTCTCGGAAGCTAATGTTCCTCCGGCGATATCTCTCTCGGGGAAGAAATAGGAGGTAGGTTTCAGATCCCACGACTCCCATTTCGATTTTGGGCCATCCTGAGGCTCTTGGTCTTGTCCGTACAAGATGTTTTCCATGACGATGTGATGGCTTGGCGCGAGGCCTAACAGCGTACCTATAGTCTTGTGGGTGCTCTCGAGAAAGTTGGTCATGCGCACCAGTAGACTAGAGCGGTTGGCGCGCATATGATCGGTGTAAGGTATGAGCATATCATTCTTGAAGAAGTCATGCTCAAAGTGTCGAGGAACTGATTTCACCAGATAGGCACCGTCATTAGTGCGGAAGAATGTCGAGCCACTGTAACCCATATCACCCATTGGTATTAGAACACCTTTATTCTTCTTGTCGATCTGTTTCCTAGCATTAAAGCTGGCTTTATAGCTGTCCTCGTTAATCATCCATACGCCACGCAGCGGCTTGAACAGATCTTCCCGTACCAGTCGGAAGGATAGCCAATACATATAGAAGAGGCGAAGAGCACTTCTTAAGAGAGAAGGTTTCCGAGCAGGTCTGCCATCCTTTTTCGCCGTTGATATGGCATAAACTATGGAGCGGGCAATTAAAGTCTCACGTCGAGTCATGTTGAAAATAGACTCATTTTTTGCCCGACGGACAAGACTATGAGCATGTTGATGTTAAGCCAAAGTTTACGAAAGTGTCTAGATTAGGTACGTATTCATGATACGGGTTATTTAAAGTGTTCAACTTTCAATGGACAGGAAGAAATGCTCCGGTAGAATAGAACTGAATGACGTCATGAAAGGACAAGAATCATATCACTGGCCCTACGAAATAATTACATTACAGCCTTAACACCTTTCTCTCATGTCTGTTTTGCCATAATATTATTTCAGTCATCTAATCATCATTTACCCCTTTCTATATATTTTCATTCAAAAAGCTGAGTTGAGAATTTCGTTATACAGTACTTCATACACGATGTAAGCGAGTTGTCCATTCAGAACTTATAAAATTTCAGGGATGTCACGGACTTGATCGTGTCAGTCTTCGTGCTCCGCTGTCCACCAGCGCCCGGGCATAGTATCGATGAAGCAATTCAACAACAAAAGGCGATGGCATTTTCCCATCGCGTACGGGCGCTACGCTATTGAAGAATGCCGTCTTTATACCGACTTCAACCGTTCTGTCTTCTCTATTCACTTTAGCAGTCAAAATGAGTATCCCGTCGAATTCGCGTGGACCGGGCTCGAGTGGTGACCCTGCCGCTCTTATTGTGACAGAATTGCTTGTCCTCTCCACTACCTCGAACTGGTCTGAAAAGCGTGTCCCGAGCTCATATTTAGACGACGCCAATTGTTGTTGGTCGAAGAGTTGGTCTTTCGTCTTGGGACCTTTTAAAGAAAGCGTCGTGAGAATGCGCTGTGGTATGTATGCTGGAAGCAAAGCGACTGATTAGCTCGGATGCTTTCACTACCATCCAACCTATACGAGAATGCTCGACGTACCGCATCCAGCCCACACCCCACGACAAAACTCAGTTGCTATAGCTTCTTCGTCGTCTCCAAGATCAGGTCTGACTTTGGATAGAGGCAGGCGCTTCCAAGCGTAATCCTGAATCGTCGGGTTACGATGACGATTCAAATGAACGAAACTCTTGCTGGTCCATATATCGTCGTCTGCCGGTAGTTTTGATATTAAGTTCGTCGTCATAGTCAAGTAGACGCCGCCTCCACCAACAACCACCAGGGCCGTTCCTACACTTTTCCGAATCCAATTCATGATGGTTTTCTTATCCGTTTAAACTGTAAATGGGAATAGCCATGATTTTGGATATGGAGTATATTGGTAGGTAAATATCCATCGCTAATACGCCAAGAGAGCTCGTATCACTAGCGGGAGCTAGGAGCATAGGTTTTAAGCCGAAAGCGCGAGTACTAATGCTATGAGCCATGCAATGAAACGCCATGCCACTCCGTTTCTCGAAAGCCCCCGCTGGTCTCTTTATAATGCTCACTAATCCATGCTTTGGCTGCCAGCCTCCGGGTACGGGTGTTGCTATTGATCATATTGCATTGATGGGCTCGGGCCGGAATTGTCCTACGGCGTACTATTTGGATAAGCTAGAAAACTAATTATTGATAGTGTAGAGCTTGGTAGGCCTAAGTACTTGTTCGTCACGAACCCTCTATATATAGTAGTTGCTATTTCTATAGTCAAATAAAATAACCAAATTAGCATCGTTTTGGTATTTGAATTTATGTCGCGCACATAATACTTAGGTATGAGAAGCCATAAGTCAGTCCGATAAATACACGGGAGCCCTAGCTCCTAAGTCTATTCTCAATTTGATTTATATATGTATATAGCTACTACGCCACGTGTTTTCCAGTTCATGAAAGGCACCTCCGTATAAACGGTGTAAATCTTAACCACCTCACCTCTTCCGATTCCATTCCACACTCTCATATAAGGGTGTAACCAACTCGACTGCAACTAAAAGCGCTTCAAATACAAAATGCCCACCCCCATTACAACAATTTAGTTACCTCTGATCGGAAGGAAGCCCGTTACCACTAGCATTAAAACCCTGTTAGTCATATTAAGGAGTTAGTAACGGCGTAAAACACTTACCCCTAACCTCAGATGTTGGGTTTTGAAAGCCATCGTGAGACATGAGTTCTAACCAGATTATGGTTTCCAAGAAATTTCGTTCAATCCTGTCACGTCGACGGCGGCTCTGACGGTATAGCCGCCCTTCGCCGCGTGTGCATTCCCGCGTTGACATTGGTTAGGATACGATGTCAGTGGCTGCCAAGACTAGGATTTAGCCAGTTGTCTATGCTAGGATCTCGCTCATGACCGAAGTGATCTCGTATACTGTGAGTTTAATATTTGATTTCATAGTTGGTGAGAATTATTTTGGTGTATATAGGTATTTGGAGGGAAATAGCCGAAGAGTAGGGATGTTGGGGGTTTTAGGGGGGCACTCTATATCTTCGTTTAACACTCTTTGTGTCTCTACCTCTAGGTGAAAGTGTAATGTGACTCCTCTAGAAAGAGTTATAAGTGGAATGGGGTTCAACTGCTAATATGATTGGTCATTCAAATAACATAAATCGGCTTGAATATTGTGTTTCTTTGGATCATCATGCCATTTCTCTTTGTTACTTTTTATTTGTTTATCTAGTATACCTCGCCCCTTCATTGTCAGCTTTAGTAATCTCTTCTATATTTGAGGGGGCTCTTTGCGCCGTAATACTTGTAATACTCCCATAGTTGTATATCCACTGCATGATCAGAAATTAGAACAGAAGCCCCGAACCGAAGAATAGGGGGTTACGCTTACTCCAGAACTTTAGTATTTAGTGGCGAAACGAATCAACCAAGTCACGTCTTGCAATGTATAAATAAATTACTCGTTTTATAATCTGACTCTATTATATATTTCTGTCTATTCTGCTGGGTATATGTAAATCCATTAAGATCCTATACCTGTGTAGCGACAACACCGAGTTGGATATCGTCCATCTTATGCAAACCTAACGCCCCTAAATGCATTATCCATCTTATCATTCATTAATATTGGGCTCTATTAAGGCGAAAACCTTTCCATGAGCATAAATAGCCTCTTAAAAAACCTCATAGTAAGAAACACTCAGGCAAAATCGCTTGCCCCGTTTGTCAGTTAATCCTTTTAGTATCGTACTTAGATCTTGGTGATCTTGAAGCCGACTTGTATAGTTCTGGATGCAATAAACCATAGCGTCGATATGGTCATCACAATACCACAAAATAGCTGAAGGCCTAGGAAGCTACCGCCGTTGGCATTCACGATGGCGCCACCGATGGGCGAGCCTGTCAAGGCGCCGAGTGCCGCCACGAAGAATGCAATACCACTGCGTATGCCGATCTCGCGGATGTCGCTGATTTGCGCAATAACGGCAGGCAACAGCGAGATGAAACCACCAGATGCAAATCCAAACACGGCTCCGTACACGACCGTCGTGGCTGTTGATTTGCCCGGCACCCATAGAGCCAGCGTGATTACGCCTGATAGTCCCGAGATGAAAATCATAACGTTAAAACGTCCGAATCGATCGCCTAGGAAACCGGGTACGATACGGCCTGGAATACTAACGGCGTTGATGATAGGGAGGAGGTATGGCACAATAGACGCGTCGATCCCTTGCTGTCGGGCCTGCAACTGGATATAATTAAATGGCAAAAACATGCCAAAGAAGAAGAAGAAACCGGCAAGGATAATACACACAAAGGCCGGTTCGTGAAGAGGTCGTACGTATTCCGCGAAATTAAATGGTCTCTTACGAGGTGGAAGACGGGACTTGATGGTGCAGCAGGCGAAGGTGCACAAGGCTAGGAGCATGAAGCCGATAGCCCGTATAGTCCAGGGGAAGCCGATCTGTGGGATAAGGTGGTTCATCATGATGGGTAGGATCACACCTCCGAGCGATGAGCCTGACACCATCAGCCCCAGGGCCGCAGCGCGTCGCTTGAAAAACCAGCCCATGACCGAGTTCATTGCCGAGTTAAACACCGCGCTCATGCCCACCGCGCTTACAATGCCTTGCGAGAGGAGAATCTGGTAGTACTGCGTCGAGAGGGACAGCATCATCATCCCGAAGCAGAACACTAGGGTTCCAATGATGAGTAGCCACCGAGGACCGTAGCTATCGAACAGTCGGCCCATCTACAAATATTAAGATATGTCAGCCGTTATCTCTTCACCCATAAGTTGAGGGGGGAATAAGAAAAGCGAATTAGCATTACTTACGACCGCGTTCAAACCGGACATCATAAATACTTGAATTGAAGTGATCCAAGTGACAGTCGACGCGTTGTAGTTAGACAACGGCCCTGAGACGTAGTAGTTGACGAACGATCCCACACAATTCACAAGTCCGAAGGTACTGAACAGGGCACAGAAGCCACCAGCGACGACAAGCCAGGCCTCGAGGCCGCCATCCGGGAAGTCGGCCGGGCTGAAGCCGGGTGCCGCACCGGGAGTATGTGGCGCCACGCCGCCTTTCTCCACTATAGCATCTCAAGTTAGCACGAAGTCATTATGACTACCTGATTTAGAGGAGTCTCAAAATCTTACTATCTGCTTCGATGACATTTTCCGGGTCGGGGAATATATTGGCATTGGTGGATTTGGCCTGCGACGGGATGCGCTCGAGAGAGTGCCGCGTGGACTCGTAAGGGGTCGGTTCGCCAGAGGTTCTGGGTAGATCGGATGGCGCACCCTTCATCGTCGATGTCTCCGAGTCGTAGCCGGGGGTTCTAGCCTGGGAGATGTCGTGGGATAACGAGACCGGCGCTTCTTGGGGGTGGTGAGTCGGCGTTTGCATCTCGGGAGACTAAAGGGGAAGAAGATATCGATCGCGTTGTCTGGATGCAGGGACCCAAGGACAGGGGCTGCTACTATATATCAAGAGGCGTGGAGAGTACGGTAAGTGATTTGGTACCGTAGAGCATAGGTAGGTAGGTCACTCTAACGGGATATCCCTATTTGTCTACTACAGTACAAATAATCTATTGACGAGGCTTGCCCAAACTCTTATATGAAACGGCAATCACCCAAAGTACATGATTGAGCCCGAGAAACTCGGAGTATATGTTAGGGTCTCGGTTTTAAAACCCAATGACTAGGGCGCGGGCACGCGTTGTCAGGGTTCTTTCGCATAGTCATCGAGTCAACGGGATAGGTTTGTCTCCACCGTCCCCTTGTACATAGTGTATAATGGAATCTCATACGGGTATGGTTAAGTGGGACTTGTTCCCAGCTGAAAGTAGAGAATTTGACCTTATTGGTGACTGTGTACGGTTGCTATATCCTAAGGTAAGCTACTCACATGTGATAACTAAAGCCTATGTCCTTCTATACGTGATATTGCGTGAGTTCGGCACCTAAGATACCTATGTAAGAGAAAGCTAGGAGAAGTATACACGTATATACTCGCCCTCTCAAACAAGCCGAATCGTAGTGAAGAGGTAGGGCCAATTTAAAACCCAAGCAATCCCCCGATTGCTATAAAAGCCTAAGAGTTGAAACGTGAATTTACCAAAGTCACCGGTACTTCTTTTCTATTAATATATCAGAACACGACCCCTATTTAGTACTGTATTGCACTATACTATCAGCATGGGATTTCAGCAACTAACTGAAGAGATACTTATCACTATTATTAGTGGTCTACGAAGGAAGCATTCAGCTAATTAGTCTACCGATATTGCATGATAATAGATAACTACCTCCTAACCTGGTTGATTTCGGTGTGTAACGAAGCGCGAAAGCCGAATTTCTTACAAAGCATAACCCGTAGATTTCTGGGTACGCGGGTGCGTGTAAATGTACGCCAAGACCCCAGCGGGTTGGTATGGAGCTAATGCAATGCGTAGAACCAATAGAATGGGCTGAATGGTTGAATTCATACAGTCCCGTTTGAAGATTCCTGGTTCGCACTAACGGAATAGAGCCAAGATTGGATCTTATCTAGGTATGTCATGTACCAAGATCTCGCTAGAAATACGCGTTTGTTCGGAGATGGGAATTAGAGCTGCTCGGATTTAAATATTCTGATAATGAAAATTTTATGTTTTTGGCCTTTAACCACACGTTTATAGGGTTGGCAGTATGTGAACTGTAATGACATTGGGGTTTGAAGTTAGAGTCACTTCATGTTAAATATAATCGTTGGTAGCTTGAGTTACACAATCAATCTGATCTATCTTTAGTTAAGTATGTGCGGTACGGACATCAAAAAAGAATCGGCCGATAATTCTCGATATGTACAAAGTACTCCGATAGAAATGCTCGACCCTACATGAATTTCTCGGGGCTCCAAGATAATTTGTCACATACGTTAACAAGTGTAACTAACAGAATGCTGACCTAATTATTGGGGTTTTTGTTTATGCTGCAACCTTGATACTATATCGTGTAATGCTTCCTAAATTTCACCAAGGGAACTAGGAGGAAACTAGCCCCCAGTAATCATTATGCTATGGCCGGCTGTATGATACAATAACTTATTTAGTTTTTAATGACGGTAGAACTGCCAATCTATTATGACTTCTCAAAGTCTTTAAGATTTTTGGCGTCGGCAAACGAGACCTTTCCGTCTTGTCCAACGCTCGCCACATTTATCTTGACCTCCGCCGCATCCTTCGTCTTCGGTGTGACGTCGGGCTTCGGCTTCGTTACCAACTCCACGGTAGCGGGGACCTCTCCCATAGGGGCGTCGGCAAGCTCATTGACGTCTGCACTCGTGAGCACGTCGCTAATCCGAGTGCCTCTGCTCGACATGAGTATCGTGGTTGGGCCTCGGAATTGTAAGAATAGCCTATCACCCCATATCGTGCGTCTCGCTGTCGTGCGGAGACTAAATAGGACTCGGGAAAGGAACTTGTAAGTCTCGGTCCCGCGCATTGTCTTCAGGAACTTGTTATCCCCTAGCCATGTCGTAATCGAAGGTACCTGGAATCTAATGCCCGAGCTCTTGAATCTGAAGGGCAAAGGTGGGTGCTTTGTCACCGTATAAGCTACCACGTTCGAGGGGTGAACTACGAATTCCTCCTCTTCCGCCAAGGTAAGTTGGTATATGTGTCCTGGTGCAGATAATGCAGCAAGTCCTCGGCCGGTCAACTCGGACGAACCCCAGTGGGCGACTGGGAGTCGATATTGGATTCGGGGAGTTACGCTCAATGAATGTCCAGTCCACGCGAGAAGCGCCGATCTTTGCGCTACCATCCAATCTGTCGTCCCATCAAGGTGCAGTATAGAAAATGTAGTCGTAGGTGACTTAGTAGATATTAATGCCGTGAGCGGAGTTGTGGAGGATATGCGTTGGTAGAGGAAGGGGACTCCTGTGACGGCTCGCGTAAAAGGTGAGAGTAAGGAGAGGGTCGATTGCGCCTAATCCAGGTGGTTAGTTATGTTCTCTATAAGTCCTTACATATTGCATCATCTCACATTTTGCGCTTTACCCGACACTGCGACTAATGTTCCGCGACGTGTGTACAGCCTCTGCGAAGCCGACAGAGACACCGAGAGGAGGGAATACGGCGTCCCTAACACTTCAAATCTAGCATCTAAAGCACCGTATAAGCATTATTGCTCAGAAAACGAGTCGAAGAGCTGGTAAAGGTACCCGCAACATCTTTAGAGACATCAATGGACGTGCCGAAGACATCTCCCCCGAGGCGAGGCGACCCGGTAGTGGGGGAGGAACTGAGCTGGATAGCTCTACATTGGCGACAAATGTAGTCTCTCCGAAGTCCCAATTGATCTATGCGCCCTCTTCTAGCTAGGAGGGAGACGCCGCGCATGGTGGCGGTCTCGAAGGGAGGTGGTTAATATGACCGTTGTTCGCGAGAACTTGTGACGAATGAGCAAAAAATAGAAACATCAAATATTCGAGCTTCAAAGAGGTACGAAGTACTTTACCTGATGTATGTACCTATACATATACTCACATTAGGTAAGCATGGTAGCTGCTAATATATGTGGCTCGTGCATTTTATGTTAAGTACCTAGGTACATACATACATCCACGGGTATAAGACTTAGGTAGATATTAGAAGCACCTACTCTAGAAACCACAACATGTAAAACATCCAACTAAATCAACCAATCTGTAAAACCAATCTGTAATATTTCACCTATCTACTCAAGTCCTCCTTTTACCCAGCAATCTCTTTAGATGCATCCACTTAAACTTTGGTCCTATGGACGCTCAATTCTAAGTGAAAGGTCTCCCTATACTGGCATCCACATTCCTCTGAATGATGCAAAGAACCCCTTTAGAAAATAATCGAAACCAGTACTTGTAACCCTAGCAAATGCTACCGTTCCTATAACGCCACGCCTATGCAAGCTTGGTTTGGCCCGAGCCTGAATGCAAAGAGAACCGCCAGCCGATATATGCAGTCTAAGGTGACTAGACCAAAGAAAATGCCATTTTAACAAGCAACGCCGAAAGATGCAAGTAGGCCTTCGTACGCGCGGTCTACCGTGCGACCACCCATCCCAGGGACAGCTCTAAGCTGTTCTAGTGAATCGATACGACCGCCATCCTCTTCAGGCAGTAGCTCTAAGTAGTCTACTAGATCCCGAGCCTTCTTGGGTCCAAAGCCCTGTAGGCTCCTGATCAGAGCGATATCTCGCGAGTTCACGATTTCTAGCAAATTCTGTGATACGGGACCTTCTTCCACCGTAGAAAATTCCCCTGCAGGTGCCTTTGTAGCCTTGGACTTCTTTCCCTGCTTACGTCCTTTACCCATATAGATCTCGCCATCGTCTGCCTCCAGGCCGTTGAAATCATCGTCGTCTATGATCTGTCGGTCAAACTTCTTATGCTTCTTCTCAACTAGATATTCGTCGACTTCGGTTCCCATGTCACCGGGAACCTCATGTCTCGCCTGCAGCCGAGCCTTAAGCTTCTCAATCTTCCCAAGAAGCTTGGCCTGGCCAGGGAAGTAAGGTAGCGCCATCTCGTACATCTTAAGAGCGCTGGCTTCTTCGCCACGTTCCTTATGTTGCCGTGCCATGAGCAAGAATCGCAATCCATCCGAACGCGAGTCGTCCTGGCGCGCGTCCTCGATACGTTTCTCGAGAGCCTCTAGGCGTCTCTGGACGGCTTCGTTAATCTCAGGTGGTGCAGGAGCAGCCTGGGTTCGAGATGCGAGGATCTCGCTAACCTTCTTCTCTACCATTGCCTCTATCTGGTCAGCAGATATGGATGGTTGAGCCAGCTGTGAAGGTTTGGCCGACCGGGGTACCAATGCTGGGCGGGTAATCTTAGATGGCCGACTACCACCATCGGAATCCGAAGGGCGCTTGTGCTGGAGTGGCGATCGCTTCATCGTAGTATTGGCTGTCGGTCGCGAAGCAGGTTGCGGCTTCGATCGATCAGAAAAGACACTAAATGCCTTGACGGGGCGATCTGGCTTGTCTGCTGCCTTATTTGCCGCCACTGTCCCTGAATGGATGTTATGCGCATTCGCGAGGGGCCTCAGGGGCTGGCGAGATGTTCCCGAGCTAGAGTTGGAGCTAGAACGAGGCGGTTGTTTGAACACAACTTCATTTTCGATTTCTCGGACTTCGATTCGCTTAGCTCTCGAACTAACATTCAAGCTGCTGAGTGTGTCAAGATGGTAGCTGCGGATTGGTGCAAGATTCAGAATCATGATGGTAATGCCGTTGTTTTGGCCGAGGGAGAGGATTCGCGTCATCTTCGACTCCCGAAAAGGTATCCGACGATCTCCTCTCGAGATGGCATCAATGCATTGACTTAGCACAAACAAGCTTTTGTTGATAGCAGCAGATTCAACCAGCCGCTCTTTGCCATTTTCTGTCCGCCGATTGTCCTCTGAACCAGCTAAGTCAATGGCAGATGCCGTACTCTCCTTAACCATATCTCCTGTTGTCTGGGTAAGCTTGACACGCAAAATAGCATGACTTCTACTGCTGTGAGCATTGAGCTTTGTAGCTGCGGTGATACGGTTATTGTTAGACTCGATATATAGTCGCTCAAAGTCCTTTAGGTCCTGGCAAGGGCGCTCAGATAACCCAGCAACAACAGTCTTGCCGTTAGCCTCTGCACGGAGAGGTAAACCCGACGGCGTGCGTTTCTCAGGGGATTCGAGGAGATCGAAGACTTTATCGTTATAAATCTCGTAGTATGAAAGTGCAACGTCTACCGTTGTCTCGCCATCGGAATCTTTGGCGATCTTCTTAGCTCTACGGAAGACACCACTAAGGAGTCTCGGGATAACACCACGCTCGGCCAATTTTAATCCACCACGCATTGTATGAGTCTTTCCGGTTCCGGTGACGCCATAAGCAAATATCGTAAGATCGAGGCCTTGGAAGAGGGACTTGAGAAGAGGGGATACTATAAAATGGTAGGGTTAAGCTACGAACATCTTCTACGTGAAGAGCAACGAGAGCGGTGAAGAAAAGGGATGAAGATGGAATTTTACCTTCTGCTGCAAATAACTCCTCTTGAGTTGTCAATTGATCGTACACGCCGTTGAACGTGAAAGAGAACTCTTCGGATTCATTCTTGGGATTAGGGATCTTGACGACATTGCTTGTCTTGCCATCATCGTTGCTGGCAGCATGTACGATCACGTCCTTGTCCAATTCCTTGTCCAGGAGCGGACGTATCCGCGCGACAACTCTCACAGACATGACTGTATTTCAAGTCAATAATACCTAGGAGCTTATATGGAAAGTAATGGATATAAGAAGTGAGAAGAATGATGCAATAGGGATTAAATGTGAGGTTCTGCAGCTTGCCTAGATGTTTAATAATGGTGATGTTATTAGAATATGGCGGCTTTAAGGCTTTGTTTAGAAGATGGCACAAGCTTTTAGCAATTGAGCAATGGGAAAGCTTGCCCTGAAAACTTAATATGGGTCTGTGGGGGCATCCCGTTGTAAGGGAGCAACCGGGGCGTGTGACGCTAGCAATTTCACTAACTCCCTGACGCATTTACACTACTGTGGTACAAGACAGCTGGAGATGCATTGTAACAATTATGCGTTAAATTCACCGAGGTCAAAGTTTTATCCTTTACGAAAGTATGAATAAATATAAAGTGATTCATTTCTTTTTCAAAGAATTCATTTTTTAATATTATTATGAAATATTTGCAGTGTTAAAAATTGTTTATATTATAACATAATAAACAATAAAATACGAGATATTTATTTTAATATAATACATTTTTTATAAAATTACATAACATTTTTAAAAAACATTATAACATTTAAGGTTTTATTTTATTACTAGTTAATTTATATTTAAAAAACATTATAAATTATATAATAATGTTATTTTATATAATAAATATTTTTAAAAATAAAAGTCATTTATAAAATAATATATATAAACCGTAAATCATTATTTAATCCATTTTAACTTTTTTTTATTTAAAATGTTTTAACGTTTGTGTTTATTTACCTGACTTTTAAAAAGGATGTGCCCGAGTTTACGAGGGATATTGTTAAACGATTTTTTTACGTGGCCATTTTTCGAAATAAAAAGTTCGTCCGTACGTAATTTTAAAACGTTTTTATTAAATATATTATAAGGTTTTATTTAATATGAAACTTAATAAATTAAAAAAGAAAAAAAAAAATCTCTTTTATAAGCTATTTTAATAATATAATTAACATATAAATAAAATAAATATGGTAGTTTATTTAATAATTTATATAAGTTATTATAATAATAATATTTATTAATAACCTTTTTATAAAAAAATTTCTAACGTTTTTATTGGTTTAATTTATTATAAATACATTATATTTTTTTATTATATCGTTAATTTACCATATTCGTTACATCATTAATTTATCACATTAATTTATTACATTTTATCATATTAATTTATTACATTAATTTATTACATTCCATTATACCAATTTATTGTATTTTAAAACCTTTTATTAAATCTAGATTATTATAAGAAAATTTATAACTATTTTTTTAATATATTTACAAATATTATTTATATTTTAATATCTTTAATTTTATCTTTTTCAATTATTAATTTATAATTTTTAAATTTCTTTAATAATAATTTTAACTTTTTTAATATAATTATAAATATAATTAATACTTTTTTTTTTTTAATTTTTTTAAATTATATATTACTTATTTTAATTAACTATATTTTTATACTTTATTTAATATTTCTACCAATTATATAATTTTTATAAATTATTAAATATTTCCTTTCCATTAAAAAATTTTATATTTTAAACTATTTAATTATTTACGTAAAAAATTAAAAACTTTTTTAAATTTATTTAATTTTTTAATTTAATCTATATATATTTATTTTATCCGCTATTAATTTTATAAAATTTTTTTTAATATACCATTAATAATATTTTTAATATTTTCTATTTACGTTTTTACATTTTTAATACTATTATTTTTACTATCCGCCGTAATATTTTTATTATCAATCTTTTTATTATTTTTAATAATAAATATAAGAATATTAACGTTATAAATATTAAATATAAATTTTACCGCATTTTTATATAATTATACTTTTAATACTTTTTCTTATTCTTTTATTTACTATTAAAATATAAAAATTTTTTAATACTTTAAAAATTACATAATCCATATTAATTCTAATGCCAATAATACTTCCGTAATATTATTTAATAACCTACCAAATCTTAATAAAAAATCCCCGTTTATTCGTATAACCTTAAAATATTTTTTAACTAAAACATATAATAAAATTTCTTTATACTACTTAAAATCTTAATTACTTTTTAATTTAATTATATAAACTTTTTACAATTTTACCATTATTTTACAATACAATAAACTATTATTTAATTAACCGTAAAAGTTAAATTTTACCAATATATCAATAACTTTTTTTAAAT